TTACAATAACCAGATCCTCTTCTCCTATTTATTCTGCAGTCCCAGTTCCCTCACAGTATGTTCCTGCTGTGTGTGCACACACTTAGGAAAGGCTTCAGGCAACAGCTCCTCTCTCAAGTTAAGGTCAATCAATACAGCTGATGTTTAATTATAGGTAGCTGACAGTGTCCTCTGGCATAGGCTAACCTTGTTAAATATAAAGTTTAAAAATATGCCTTCAAAATTAAATTTCTGCTTGTTTTTAGATGCCCTGTGTGTGCTGGTTCTCCTGTGACCTTGACAAGACCAGCATTGACAACACTGAGATTCACTCCTATATTATAAAACAAGTTCGGGGGTTGTCACTATCTTCCACGCCAGTGCATCTGATCTCTCCTGACAAAGGGGCATGAGATGGTTGTATTCATCTCATGAATACACTGTTAGAGGTTTTTCAGCAGACACAGTCTGGGCTGTTTGCTTCTATTCAGCACACGGTAAGAAAAGGACCATTTGCTTCTGTTCATCTCGTGTACTGCCAGAGAATAAGCTGTATGAAATGCATGGCGTCTAAAAGGATTTTAGTGATGTCTTGATTGTAATAACACTCTAACTTGAAAATTTCTAGCTTTAAAGAAAATAATTTTTACATTATACAAGAGTTGCAGATATTTCTTAAATTTTTGTTACTCCTATGCTTTGTCAACAGTTAGACTACTAGGAGAGGACAGCACTACTTAGAACAGCTTTTAGGAAACCACTGAATTCACTAGGGCATTGATTCCTATTGCAGTAGGTCAGCATGTTTCCAGCTGTACTCTGATTTCTAGTAATAGACTTAATCTTCTAAATCACTAAAGGATTGCAACTGCACCATTACACCAGGTAAGCCCAACCCCACCTCCTTCTATGCTTACCTTTGGGTCTGTCAAATTGTTGCTGAAAGGGTCCCCAATAAAGGGTTAAGCATATTAATGAACTTGTATGTTTAATGAAACAGACATAGTGTACTTAGAATATTGAAATAACATTTAAAGCAGTCCAGCACTGCAAAATAACTTTCTGATGTTTTAGCTTACAGTTTTGTAAATTCCTTGTGTTTTCTACAGTGTCATGATATCTGTGGTTTAAGTTCTAAATATAGAAAACCTGTTTAATAGAATCAGTAACACTTGTAATAAACAAGTACCTTCTATTTGAAAATGGCAAATTATTTTAAACATTAAACAAAACCAGGGAGAATAGAATCTCAGAAATCCGTGTTTTGAAATATAAAACCCCATGTATTTTAACTGAAACAAAAGGCAAATTTCTTACTATCTTCCCTGAAGATTCAGAAGTAGGAGCTCTAATTAGACCTCATCCTGTTAAAACTTAACAATTCATCCAAACTGCCTCCAAAAGGATCAGTGCATTGTGATGTGCATTATAAAGAGAAAGAAATTATAGCTGTCAAGTGTCAGATATTACTTATGTTACTCACCCATCACTGAACTTTGAGACTAAGCATCTTATTTTAATATTTTTGAACAATGTGATTTTAATTGTTGTGATTAAGGGATTGTAGAAATGTGTCCCACGTGAAGACGACACTCAGTGAAGTATTACCTTTGCTTTTAGAATTACCTTTGATCGCACTGGAAATTCGCAGTGGATTTCCCATTAATTAGTGTGAATTAGAGAGTTGTGGCTGTTCAGTTTAGGTTAATTCTGAATGTTGTACAGTGCATCGCTAATTATTGGGGGGAAAAAACACAACCCTTATTAAACAGTCCGCAGGTGCAAGGGATGCGTTCCCTCTGCTCCGTGTGTGTTCCTAGAGGCTGGCAGCTTCTCTGAAGCGTTTACCTTGCATACTTGGATAGCTCCTGGCACCACCACAGGACCTCCTCGTCCCGCAGAGAGCGGCTTCTCCGAGGCCCAACACAGCGCAGCGAACACGGCTCAATTCTCCTTCCCTCCCGGAGGATCCCATTCCATTTTCCCGTCTAATTCACCCTCGGGAGCTCTGCTTCCCAGACCCCGCGCCGCTCTTTTGTCCTCGGTGCGAGGCCTCGGCTGAGCTCCTTTTCACACATGTCAACACTCGCCCGTAATTAGCGCTCGCCGCACAATGAGCCCTTCCCGCTCTCCAAAGGGCTCAGCGTGCGGCTGCTCCCGCCGGGGCCAGGCGGCTGCCCAAACACAGGCACCGCTCCCCGCTGCTGTGGATGCCGCGGCTTGACAGACGGACACACTGAGCGTGTCCTTTGTTCCGCAGTCGGGACAGAGCTGCCTTGGCAGTCTCGGGCCGGGTAGGGATGTTTATCTCTGTTATACTGCGCCAGGTCCTGCCTGGGCACCGCCGCAGCGGAGCGGGGAATCCGGCTTGTAGAGGCGGACCACGCCGAGCCACAAGCACCTCAGCCCTCGCCTCTCTCCGGAACACAGGACGGGGTGGGATAGGGTAGGATAGTGTAGGACAGCCCCTGGAGAAACCGCGTTTCCCTCCGCAGCGCGGTGCGGATCCTCACAGACACCCCTGGCTCCCCCCGCGGTACCGGGGCGGAGCTCTGCACGCCCCGCCCGGCTCCGCCGCGCCTGCGCCTCTCCCGGCGGGACACCGAGGAGTTCCGCGGCGGGCGGCCGGTGCCGGGCTGGGCGCTGCGGGACGGGTGAGTTCGCTGTGGGGACAGGCCGGGCAGGGGCAGCGCGTTCTGCAGAGCCGACACTCCCTCGGCTCCTGCCGGAGCTCGGACTTTGCTCGCGGCTGTCCCTGGAGCGGGCGGGCTGAGCCTCCCAGCTGCCTCCGCCCTACGGCTTCGCCCCGCTCCGAATCGGCCGCGTCCCGTAGCAGGAGCGACTCTCGGGCGGCCCGGCCCGGCCTGGCCCCTCCCGGGGTGCCCTGGGCGTTCCGCCTCGGTACCGCGGTATTGCCTCATCGCCTAAAAATATCGCCTGGCCGGCCGCCGGGGAGGGGGCCGCGCTCGGCGGGCGGGCTTGGCAGCGCCGGGAGGCGCGGAGCGTGTGCCCGGCCTGGCTCTCGGGGTGCGGGTGAGTTCAGGGCTCGCAGCCACGGGCTTGTCCCAAAATAGATTCTTTGACCTGCTGTGCATGAGGCTAATCCATACACAGAACCAAAGTACTTGATTTATTTGCGGTTCTGAGCAGAAAGAAGGGCTGGGTGGTACAGCCACAAAGCCAGCACGACGACTGTCTAAACTTCTCACTATTTATATGTGTTAGCAAACATAGCCATTAATGTTTACTGGCTACAACTTTGCATAGTTATCTTACTAATGAGTATTCTGTCTTGTATTGGTTAAATTATTTCCTTGCTTCTAATGCTAAGTGTGCTGTGTTGGTTTGTCTTTTGCTTCTTTTAGGTGGGTGGTTTTCTTGAGTCGGGGGTCTGTGACTTGCTGGTTACGATTTTACCCTGCTGGAATTACCTTTTACCCATTTGAAAGTGATTTCAGCACAGTTGCTGAGGTGGCTTTATTAGTTTCTTCCTTGTCGTGGGAGTTTTGCCCGATGTCCTTTTGGCCTGTAAATTGTGCCTTCTTTATGTCCACCATCAGTGGTACGTCCTCCTTCCCAAGCTTTGTTAACCTCCCCTTAGGTCTGAGATCGTTGAAGCATGTCAAGTTCTAAACCTTAACACGACAGTTCTACAGACAAGTAATTTATCTTTCTAACACCTGGATATCAGGGTTGGGGACAGGTTTCTTTCCAAGTGCATAGCTCCTTTAGCCAGCTGGAGAGGAAGCACGAATGCTGTGGTTTCTACCTGAGCACATCAGTCACGTTCAGGCCATTAGGTTTCATGCTCATCCCAGTATTAATTTGCATTTGCCATTTCTCTGTAGCCTCCCGTCTCTCTGTGACACGGTACAATGCAATTTTCAGCTGTAATTTCTGTGCTGTGCAGGGACAGACTGTGCTGCGAGCAGCTCTCAACTGGAGAGTTTGTTCTGCAGAAGTTAGTAAGGGGTTAGCAGGCTTTCAGGGGATGGGGCTGCATGTGCTTCTGTGGGTATTTCTGCCCTTCACAGCAAGGAAAGCCTCACAGATAGTTTCTGGTTTGTTTTTCTTGTGTTAAAAGAACTGGAAATGTGAGCTCAAAAGTATTGACCATAAAATTACATGCCAAAACAAATATGCCTATTGAAGGCTGCCTGTTTGGAAGCCCTGGCTGTGAAATGCCACTGCTGGGTTAGTGGCCCATCTTCCTGGGGCTGGAAAACCCCTGAGGCTGTGTGGGAATGGCCAGGAGTATCCTAACCCCAGTTAATAGATGTAGATGTGGTGGGCTGCTGGCATTTGCAGCTTCTTCCCATATTTTAAATTTAGTTTCTGGAGGTGGTAGTTCTGAGGAACTTTTTGCCACTGACGCAAAAACTACGCACCAACATTCTTAGTATTTTAAACAGCAACTGGGGATGTCTGTCGGAAGTTGGTGAGAGGAGGTGGTTTGTGCTGGCTGGGTTGACATGCTGAGCTAAAGAGCTTGCAGTGTATTCTGATTGCTATGTCCTAATGACTTTTGGCCGTAATAAACATCAATATGCTGTGTAGGATGATTCTTCACCTAGAGAGATTAACGCAAACATTTCTTCGAAGTGTAATTGCTGTTGTACTTCAGAAGAAACAGCAGCTTTCACAGCTGACCAGTTTTGAATACTATTCATGCACATTTGAGGCCAGCCTAATGTAGCCAAAGAGCTAATTTGAAGAGCTGCTTCATTGTGTCTGTTTCTTTTTAACAGCTCTGATGACAAGTCAGAGAGGATCAACAAAAGCAGATGGCAGGAGGTGGCTCTTGATGCTTTGGGGAGTAGCCTACTGGAGTGAAAGATTAGAAGATAAGCACATTAACACAAACCACAACGAATTACTTTGGGCTAAACACAAAAAAACCCCTATGTGCCAGAGTGTTAAAACTGAATTTGAGAGAAGTTTGAAAAAATTACACTTTTTAAGAATTCTGGTTTCATTCTGCTCATTTGATACTGAGAGTTCTTTTTTTCCTAAGTGTAGTACAGAGTTCCAAGAGCAACAAACAGATATGCATATAACATCATCAGGTACCAGCACAGGCTTGCCTGATAGATGTAGGGCTCTGGCAGAACATTTGTGGAGAAAAAAAAAAGACTATGCCTCATCTTTGGGACATGCCAAAGGTGTGCAAAATATGCTTTGACTTTGACTTTTTTTTTATTAGTGCTGCAGTGAATGTTGTTTTCCCCTAAACTTTACATCTTGTTAAATTAGATCTCAAAATCACTTAAAATTCATCTTAGTGGTGCTGTGCATACTGCTTTGTTCAGGAGTGTGATGGCTGTCACTGCTTAGTTTGATGCTCTCTAAAAGCCACAATGTCATAACTTAGTCCTGAACTTGCCAGGAGCAAACCATCATCTGTGTAACCAGTGGTTGTCAGGGATAACTCAGCACAGTTGCAACTTAAAATTTCTATTTTTCTGTGGGTTTTTCCAATTTTAGAGTGATTTTATTTTTAAGGGTGTTTTTGGGAGTTTCTGGCTTTTAGTGACTTTCTGTGACTTTTTTAGAGCACTCAAAAGTGACTGTAACGAGATCAGTGTGGGATTCTTCATTTCTTTTGACTCAGCAGACTAATCCTGTATCATATTTAGTACTTACAAATCCAGGATTTTCATGCCAGCTGACAATAGGCCAGAAATGATAATTCACAGTTTCTGAGTTGCTGCAACAATGTCTTGAGGTAAGGTAGGAAGGGCAACCTGACAAACTTGCCCCTTTAAGCAATGCACAGTTAGAGTGAAGGTCACTCAAAAGCCTGCAGTGGCAGTGCAGTTTTTCTGCAACCATCTCATAATGCTGTGTAAAACCAAGGAAGTTTAAACCATGCCACTCAGGAAGGGAATGTGGCATTTACACAAGTATGGGTATATGTTTTCACATGATACTGTTGTTATTGTAAAATGTATTTTGTACATTTATAAAAAAGTAACCTTGCTCCTGAACGTCTGGAACAGATGCGTGGTTCATGTGTCATTAAATTAGAAACTGCAGGAAAACAAAGAACCATCTGGAGACTTGGTCGGGGGGAGGTTGAGGTTTCTGGTTAAATGTATTATCAACACAGGAAAAAAATATAAAGAGTGTTTTAGCTACAAAAGGAGGTGAAGTGTGATAAGCATTTTGTTTTATTTTGGCTTTAAACCATTTTCTTTTTGTAATTAGGGGAAGCACCAGAATGAAAGACATGGACAATATCAAAACTGTAAAGAAAGAATGGTAGGTGCCACTTCTCCCTATTTTTTGTCTTCCTTTCCCACTGCTATTTGTGTATCCTGTCATTACTTTTCAAACTTTTTGTTCAGTTCTAAAATGCAATATTTTTACTGTGTTCATCTGCTCCACGTATACTGAAAGTTTCAAAAAAATCGTGTTGTTTTGCTGAAAGATGTTTCATTTACCTGAAATGTTTCCTAGATGCAAGAAGCTGTGTAAATATTTTTATTTAAAATAGCAAGGCAGCCTTTCAAATTGCTAACTCACTGTGCAGCTCTGCATGTGATATGGAGGTGTTTGCTTTTCCAGTTCTGTTTCACCTAGTGAATACTTGCATTAAATGCTTCAGGTTTGTTTTGTTCTATTAGAAAACTAAAATGAGGACGGCATGCTTTTGAAATTTCTTCTTTAAAGTTGTTGAGGTTTTCTTTTGTTTAAGATGTTAATCTCCAGGGATTCTTAGTGTTGCATAGGTGCACTGCAAACAATTCCATTTTATGCAAATGTATCTAATTACCATTCCAGTAAGTGTTGCTGCTCTTGAATTCAATGCAGAGTTTTATGTATAATTGGATATTTTTTCAAGAGCTGGGATTTTTATTTTATGAATTGCTTAAAATAGACATTTCTGAATCTCCTGCAGGAGTAACTCCTACAATGTTTACGAAAAGCTGCATAATCTTCTTATGCAAAGAACCTATACTGAGATAATCATTCAGATTGCATATTTCTGCATTTTGATTGGTGAAAATCTAACAGAAACAGCTGTCACATATACAATGTTCTGTAAAAAGATGTGGTTGGTGCATCTTTTTTTAATACCCTGGCAGTCTCCACAGTGTTGAAGGCTTCTATTGTATTTCTTCAGTGTGCTCCAGTGGTGTTGAGTCACTTGAGTTTCCCTAATGCACTTTCCAAAACAGTAATGGTGGTTCTGGAATGGTGCTAGGAATGGGGAGGTTCAAGCTGGGGTAGAGGAGTAAATCCTAGGGCAATTTTCTCGTATTTTTAAAAACTTATGGCAAAGGAACCCAAGCTTGTATGACAAATTGCTTTAAGGAAGGACCTTCATTAGTGTGCAACTAGGTCTATGGTAGTTACAAGTATGAATCATCTAACTTACATTCCTTGCTCTGATACCAAGCTTAGAAGCTTTACATAGATTACTTCATCTTTTCTGATGATGCTCTTTACCTTGTGCTTTTGAAGTGCAAATTGTAGCAGTTAGAGATTGGTAAGAAGTTTATAGAAAAGGCACAATGCAAAGTTGACCTGATGTTCTGTACTCAGTAAACTGAGTAAGCTGGGTGCAGGGGAGTGTGCCTTCTATACTTCTTGATACTGAGCTTCTGAGGTGCCTACTTTTCTTCTAATGTGTCCTCTGAGGATTCATTTTTGCTTCTGTCTTTATTCTGCAGGGTGTGTAAATCAGGGACTGATGATCAAATTTTGAACGGTACAGAACAAAACTGTGACTACTTTGTAGATAATCTATTTGAAGAGGCTCAGAAGGTTGGTGCTATGTGTGTGCCCCCAACTACAGTCAAGAACCAGGTAGGCAGTGAAGAAAAAGTACTCATGTTTTGTTATAACAGCACTCCAGGAGTATTCTGGAAAACAGATACTAGAAGTTCAGCAGTCTTTTCTAGTATATGAGTAAAAGAATGCACACAATTCAGAGAGCTGTAGGAACAGCTTTCCATCTCCCAGTCAGCCAGGCCTTTGCTGCTGGACTTCTGGCTCTTACTTGCTTTATAGTTGGTTTAGAGTCATCCTAGAACTGATGCTGGCATTGGCTAATGCACTTTTGCTTTATTAGTAAGGAGAGTGAGGTGAGCAGGAGTTCAAGGAATGACAAGTACTGTTACATAAGAAGTTATTTAAGGAGCTGCAGCCTTTTATGCAGAGGCATAGCCCAAATATTTTTCATTTGGTCTTATTCATATAATTATGGTTGTAGTGGGATGTTCAGTGTGGGTTTGTATCTCAGTGATTCTGTCCTTTTCATGTTTTTCTGTTACTCATCAAAGACTGGTAAGAGGAGGGAGAAAAGGCCGTGTAGAACAAAGATGACAAGAAGAAATTTGGAGTGGGCATTGCTTGAAATTATGTTCATGGATCCTTAACTGACCCTGGAAGAAATTTAATGTCTGGAGCAATATTTTAAATTGCAGTCCTGAAATAGTGTTCCATGGCATGTGTTGTGTCAATGCTTAAATGGGAAGCTGGTGTGGAATAATTAGTCCATGTAAAATTTGCATCCTGGCTCACTGTAGAGGAACCTTCCCATAATTAGAACTCTTTCCATATGCACTGGTGCCATGAGACCCAAGTTTTTGATGGACTCTAATCTTGCTGAATCCTGTCTACTTCTTTTGACAGATTACCCAGCTGAAAGACAAGGAATTGTATTCAGCAGTTTGCACATGCTGTTTATTTATGTAACAATCGCCTAACAAGTCAAATTGAAAAAAAAAACAAAAAACCAAAACTCCCCAAACTTGTCAGGTACTATCAAGCCTCATTCAAACTGATTTTCAGCTGAGGTGAATTCTGCATCTGTGGCTGAGTATCTGTCAAGACAATGCTATTACAGGGATCAGACCTCAATAACCAAATGCTTCCTTAAATGGCATGATGCATTAATATGAAAATACAATCCCAAATATCCATCTTATAGTTGGAGAGATTTCAGTAAACATTGCAAAAGTTAAAAATTGGAGTAGTGGATGATTTCTGGCAAAGTTAAGGAATTACTGACTACCAAGGTTTTGAATGCACCTAGAAGTTCCAGGGTAGCATAAGTGTATGACTGTCTGAAAGTTAATTTTCTGATACTTGCTTCATTTTCTGAGTGAAAGGCTTCTGCATGCATCATCTCAATGCCTTTACTTTGAGAAAATCCTCCTGAATGATTGGAACAAGGCTTTACCCTAATAAATCCCCAGCTGGACTATTCTGGCAGTTGGTGTTCCAACACCAGGCGTGTGTGCTCTCAAATTAGCTCTTGAAGAGTTGCAGCTGGCTGGGATAGTCCAACTCTTTTTTTTTTTTTTCCCTATGCTGAATTGAAGGAGTGTTCTTGACCTAGGAAGCCAAAATGATTGGAGGAAGGTTTGTTTCTAACCCTGATTGACACAAGATACTTAGAAATGTCACTTACCCCTTGCAGTTGCTGTGTCTGTTGGCATGGGGCCAAGGCAGATTACAGTGAGCCTGCTCTCAGTATTTTTAGTCCACGAAGTGGATGATTTATGATCACAGGGTATGTGGGTATACTAAGCTTCTTTCTCATCAGTGTTATAATGAGGATTGTTCTTACTCTGTAGGTTGATGTAATCATTAAACTTTGGAAAAATGGGTTTACAGTAAATGACGGTGAACTTCGGAGCTACACTGATGTTGCAAACCAGCAGTTCTTGGAGTCCATTAAAAAGGGGTAAGTGAGTTTTGTGTTCTTAAGCAGCCTGTGTTAATGTGCTTCGGGTAGCACTTAGCTTATGCTCTGAATTTTTTAGGTGGCTTTGCTGTGCTGCAGTGTCCCTGTAGGAGCACAGGCCCTGCCTGTCTCCTTCCTGCAGTGCTAATGGCTGCTGGAACATCTACAGGTTTAACACGGCTCTCAGTGGCTGTAGTTGTACAGTTGCTGATGAACAGATAAAAGCCAGCGTTGGCAGGGAGCACAGCAGGTGCAGAATGAAATAAAGAATAAATCAGTGCCCAATAAGAGCTACAGATCAAATGGTATTTTGACTAATGAACTCCATGCACAAGGGGTTGAGCATTTCTGGTTTTATGGTCTTTGTTTTCTTTTTGTTGATGAAAAGCCCTAAATGGGCACAGATGTTCTATGTACCATCAAGCAACTCCGATCAGTCTTAAATTTCTGACTTTTTTCCAAGTACAGACTTACTGTTGCGTATATATGTCTTCCATAAATTCCTGTGTTAATAGCCATCTAATAGTTTTCCCTGTATTAAAAGTTAATGTGCAATCCTGATTTCTGCTATTGTTTGCAGTTGTTGCTTTAAAAAAAGGAGTTTGACCGTACTAACCAGTGTTATTTTGAGCCTTTAATTTATAGTCTGTTTCCTTACCCCTTCCAAAATGGAAAGGAGATTATAATTTTATGGATAATTTAATTTAATACCTCCTTATCAAGCATATGAATACTAAGTCGTATTTTTCTTTTCCATATTTTGCTAGGCCATCAAAAATACTAATTTTACACTATTTCTCCTGTATGACTATCACTTGTGTTAGTTGTAGTAGCAATTAACTGCACTGTTTAAAGCCTTTTGTGTGCATTAATCAAAAGTTTGCCACTTTTATTCTGCTGTTTGCCTGTGAAGATGCTAATTATGAGATGGTTTCTGCATGATCATTGATGGTAGAGAAGCATTTAGTACAGCCCCTGTGCCAGCTGAGCCCCACCACCCGAAATTGTACTGTCTGCATCAGAGCTCAGAGACAAAGGCATTGTTGTGTTCTTCTTCATGCAATTAAAGCATTACCAAGGTGATGTTACTGCACTAAAGAGTGGAGCTATTAGAGATGATACAATTTTTAGAAGCTGACATCTGTGTTTGTTACTAAATACATTGTGTCTAAATTCAGTTCTTCCTCTTTAAAAGCCATTTTCTTTTTATTTTACTATGGGGATAAAATAATTGAACCCTTTGCAGCAGTGTGTGGCAACACTGAACTTCCTACACATTATGTGTTTAGAGTGGTAACTGCTGAGTAAATTTGAACATCATTCAAAAACTTGGATGATAGAGATTTTTTTAATTATATACTTTCTAGTTAATTTGCAATTCAGGAACTTGAAGTTATTTGTATGTCATACACTTAACCTAACTCTTAGTAAATACTTGTGAAGTTGTTTTTTAAAGGCATTATGAAAAGCCAAATGTTGAACAGATATTAATCATTGGTCTATTTTGTATACTGAAAGGAGTATAGTACTTTTTTTTTTACTTTTTTTTTTTTTCTTAAGGGAACTGCCTTTTGAGCTGCAGAAAGTTTTTGATAAGGAAGAGGTAGAAGTGAAAGTGGAAGATAAAAAAGATAAGGTGTATTTGTCATCGAGAAAGCCAATGTTTCATCCCTTTTCTGGACATGGCTATAGATTAGGAAGGTAAGTAGGCTGATGTGATCTATGATTGAGTAGCTGAAGGGAACTATACCTACGGTGAAGGATCAAAATTCAGGTGGGAAGCAATCTCTGGAGTTTTCTAATCTAAGCTCCTGCTCAAAGCAGGGACATATATGGGGACAGATGAAGTTACTCAGACTTTTATCCAATTGGGTCTTGAAACCCTGTAAGAGCAGAGGTTGTGTAGCCTTCTTGAGTGCTGGACTGTCTTTATGGGAAAGAATCTTTTCCTTATATCCAATCCGAATGCCTCTCATAGGAATTTCTGTCCACCATAATGAGCATCACCCCCTCCTGCAGACCCTGGCAGGCTGCTTTTAGGTGCCCCACAACCACCACCATGTCTTCCACAGGCTGAACAAGCTGCTCTCCTCCAGCATCTGCTGACAGTGTGAGTGCTCCATCCTTCAGCATCTTGGTCTCTCCATGAAGCTTGGGGAATAATTGGCTTCCACAATCCACTGGACTGTTGATACAGCCAGGAAACTCTTGGCTTTCTTTGTTCAAGGTCTCAATATTAGCAGAACTGTTTCCAGCTGAAATGCTGTCACTCTTCTATTCTGTGATTCTAGATAAAAGAATCTCTTTTTAAGCTGTATGAGCAATAGTTTGAGAGGGAAGTATTATAATCCCATAAAGAGAACTGAAGAAAAAAGAGGTGATTTTGCATACTCTTAAAATTGTTCAGTAATTAATCATGCATGTATTGCAGTAAGGCATTTTAGCATTCTGCAATGTTCCATGTCTCTTTTGTAGTTGGACAGTGTCAGCCATTCATGCCAATGCTAAAACCGGACTTGATTTGCAACTGAACAATTACTGTGTTTTGGAAGGCTGTTGCAGAGCAACAAGCCAGGAGTTCATTTATTTGATGCCTGTGACTTTTGCTTACTCCAGCCACATTATCTGCTTGACATATCCCTGTCATGCAAGACTTGTGTGCCTGTAAAAGCAGGCTTTGGCTTAGGGAATAGGACATGTTCAGTGACCAGGAGGCATCACAGGTTGCACTGCTGAGTGACCTGCAGGAGTGGGGTTCCTAAGCTGTGGTGCAGCCTTAGGTGAACAGTGTCTTGTCACCCCGAGACAGCTTGTTTCAATTAGGTGGGAAGGGTTTGGCTGCTAAGCCCCAGAGCTTGTGCTAAGGGAAAGCTTAACCTGGGCAGGAAGAGCTGAGGAGCAGAAGAAGATAATGTGCAGAGCAAAAGACTGGTAAAGGGTGAGTGGATCCAGGCTGACTCAGAGGAGCAATATCTGTTTTATGGGTTTCATCTGTTTCTGTAGTACAGTCCATTCAATTGCTCCATGCTTGAGTAGATACAATGGGGAAAACCTTCCCTTGAGAGATGAGCGAGATGCTGCAAGACTTGCTTTTGGTGGCACGGAAATACTGAGCAAACAGGGGTAAAGAACTTAACCTTATTTTATCTACAAGTAGAGCTATTCATAACAAAACCAAAACTATCTTCAGTGTGCTGGGTTTCTGCCTGCTAACCAGTGCTAAATGCTAGGCTGTTCAGTCACTTCTTATGCTCTGCCATGCCTACAGCAAGTAATGATTTTTCTTCCCAGTAGGCAAGTTAGGTTTCAGAAACATGCTAATCTGTGAATTTCGGTTGACTGGTCTTGTATACTGAGACATTCTACAACTTGCTCACCGTTTTTTTTCCCTCTCTACTCTTGCTTGTCTATTCTGTGCTATGTTATACAACCATTTCCTTAAAGACAAGTAAATATTTTTGCTGATGTTGGAAACATGAGCTGTAAGTGCTCCTACTCCATAAAGTTGCGCTCACTTCCTGCTGTTAATAAATGTCCATTGCATGGAGACACCACACTTGCAGCAGAAAAGCTTTGTGAGGCAGCAACAGAGCTGGCTGAGACTTGGAACAAGTTTTAAGCTATAGAACTCCTTTTCCACAGTTGCATTTGTGTGATAGTCAGAAATGAGAGAGACTGGCTAAGCCCCTGCTTAGCAAGTAAACTTATACAATTAATACTGTATGCTTTGTCAGTGTTCCCAAATGGTGGGATTTTGTAATGGATGAACCATTATGAATTGGTCTATTGACTAGATCTCAAAACTTTTATTGGAGGATCTAAAAATAATATATATGTTGATATAGCTCAGACCAGCTTGGTCCTCTGCCTTTTTGTTCTACAGAAGAAATAATTAAGATGTATCAAAATTTTCCAATGTACCTTATGTACCTGTATAACTAATGGGCATACTCTGTTTTATCTATCACTGTCCAGCTGAATTTCACAGTTTGGGATTATGACTAGATTTGCAACCCCACATTTCTCTTGAGCTAATCTATGCATCTTTGAGACAGCCTCAGAAACATGTTAATTAAACTATTGACTGAAATCCCTTGTAGCAACGCGAGCTTGCTCTGTAACCTCATTAGGGTAAAGCATTGTGTGTCAAGCTGCTTAACCATCAGTCAGGGTAAGACATGATACCTAACTGCTGGGCTTTTTCTTGTCACAAAATTGACAGGATGCTCTTATGTCTCTTCGATCTCTGGTTTACATCTTCTGTTGATAATCTTATAAGAGGAATAGGCCTTAAAAGGAGTTAGAATGCTTCGATTTCAGGCTAATAAAACTTAGATTCTTAGGTGTTGGCTTTAGTCAGAGCTGCCACCACTAGATGGCTTTATCTGTCAGTTCTGCAAGAGAAAAGTTTTTACATATAGAAGTGCTTTAAATCTTGGTGAATGCAGATGTTCTAACTTTCTCTTAAAGCTTCATTTAATGTGTTGGCTTCGGTTTCGCACACACTTGGCTATTGAAAGAATCAACTCCAGTGCCTGCTGCAAATGGACATGTGGCTGTGAGGGAAGTTGGTTTGGGAATGACACCAAAACCTGTGTCCATGCAAGACAGTTGTCTGAGCTACAGCTGTGACTGATGCAGCCCAGCCCAGCACGGCTGAGCACCTCTGCAGCTCACTCATATGAATTCTGCAGTGTCTGAACAAGCAACTAAACAGGGAGACACCGAGAGCTGGGCATTGCTGGACTGAAGTATGACTTGAATTTTTTTCGTTTTTTTTTTTTCGTTTTTTTTTTCTCTGCTTGCAAAACTGTTTAACATTATCTTACTAGTACTCAAGCTTTTATTACTGATCTGGAGGGCAATAAAGTTTTCTTTCACATTGAGGCCAAACATGAACAGAAGCTATTAGTGAGGCAAGTGGGTTCTAGTACATCATCTGTAGTAGTAATGCCAGAATATTTTACAGATGTACGTTTTGTAATTTGTTGATGCCAAGTCCTTGTGGCCCAGCTGATTTCTGTGTAATGCAAAGAAGGTTTTGTACCTCTTATCTGTCTCCAGTCACAGTGAACGTCTCTTATTGCTCACTTGGAAATGGGATTTCTTGATTCTCATTCTTTTTGCTGAGTTTCTGTGGAAGATACAAAAAAGTGTCTCTACTGGTTGATATCTTAGAAGTTAGGGCAGCTCTTAACTGGGCAATAAAAGTTTTTTAGTATCTCTGACTAAACTTGTGCTTAAGACTCTAGCTTTATTAGCCTGAACATATTAAGTCATTAGCTAATAATAAATTAGCTATGACTTTTCTGCCATATGAATAAACTAACACAGGTACAAGAGCATAAAAACAGGATTTGTCTACAAAGCAGGTGTACAGTATAGTTAAGACTTACTCTATGGACATTAGTTACCTACTTCTCTCTCAAGAAACTGTAACTCACCAATTTTTTATGCAAAAAAGCTTTTCTGCAAACTGCCATGTAGTGCTCATGTAGTCTGTGACCACAGCTGAGCTCAGAGGAGAAATGGTAACTCCTTAAATCACTGCTATTGTTCTGCAAGCAAACATCTGGTTATACTCACAGGAGCTGAGAACATGCCCATTGGATCAGGCCCAGTGAGGATTTAAACTGTACATGCTGAACAAGCTTAGTCATGAAAGAAGCACTAAGCTCTAGACATTTCTTCAGAATAAAAATTTTTGCCAGCAGTTTTTTTTTTGTTTGTTGTTTTTTAAGACCATGCACTTGGACTGAGGTCCATGTATTCTGTCAAGTCATTTTATGAATCTTTGCCCCTGTGATTGGGTCAGCTTTTGAAAATGCCTTAGGAAAAAAATCCACCTGCTATGTGCATCAGTCTGGATTTTTCACATTAAGTCAGTTTTTCTGATAGATGAGTAATTCTTCTAAGCTGAGATAGATGATGCTGGAGTCTAAATAAAGGCTAACAACACTCAGTTAAATTGAATTACTGTAATCATATTATGCTGAAAATTAACTTTGACTATGCAAATTCAGTACTCAACCACCTTAAAGTTTCACCTGTGTGATTTGAGTACAAAAATACATGAACAATTTTTAGACAGTTTTGTCTCTTGTCTCTTCATACTTAATCCTCTGATATTTAAAGTTCCTTTCCATCTTATAAAAATGTTAAACACAAGCAAACTGAAATTCTTTAGCTTGCTTTAATCTTTAAGTGAAAATCATGGCATATGTGTAAGAAAAAAATAAGGAAGAAAGAAAAAAGATGGTATTTATGTCAGTGTTCCTGTATTTGTTGAAATAAAAAGTGATCAGCACACTCTGTGGGGCAGAAGGCTCCAGAAGCAGAGGTCTGGAGGGAAGTTAGAGCTTGCATGTGTTCTCAGAAGTCATAACCTCATGTGGCTTTTCTTTTCAGTGCTACTCCAAAGATAATCTCTAAAGTGGGAGATGGTCATCCAGGACCTGATGACAAAAGGAACCTGCCTTTAGTACCCTTGAATGATTTGGAGCCTATCACCAGTGTCCAAATCTGGTTAGCTGATGGGGAAAGGATAATTCAGAAATTCAATGTTTCTCATAGGTAAGATTTATTTCACCACTGTCATATATATTTTCATCTGCACTATTTGTCTTAATGCCTGTACATTTAAGTCTTTAATTTCTATGACTGATCTACCTCCTTAGTTCACTTAGTATTGAATTGCTCTTCAGTTGTGTCTGGAAAACCTTTGAAATTTTGAGAAATCTTTTAGCTGACAAGAAAAGAGCATAAGAGAAATGTGAACTGTTAAAAGTCAGCTCATAACTGAGTATAAAGAAAAATCTGAGGAAACTGTCGGAGTTCGTTGTAGTTAGTGAAAGTTAAGGTGTACATATTGCTTATTACTGGAAGAAATAGCTTTTAACATGATAGAGCACTCCCAAAACAACTACATCTGTAACAAATGGCTTAGTAAAAAGCCTGCTGGTCACTGGGCATAGGCAGCACCACAGGTGGGAGCTGGAAAAAGGGACTTAGAGTTAAGCCAGAGAAACCTCTGAGGAGGGCTGGAGTCAGTGCCCTGGGCAGGGAGGTTCACCCCCTGCATGTCAACATGGACAGAATAGAATGCACACAGTGTGTTTAATTCTTAATTAATAAAATTTCTGGTTCCTAAAGAGGCTTAGAAATTAGGATAATGTCAGAAGGTGTCAGCACAGTGCATGTATGCAGGAGCTTTGAGAAAGTGGGATTAACACTTTATCATTAAATTGTAGAGCTACTGTCTTTAGAGACCTTTGTCAAATCTGAATTTGAGAAATTACTGCAGTACTATACAGTCATGTTGTGTGGAAAGGATGCATTGCCTGTGCTTCTCTGTGAAGCAATTTAAAGGTATCACAGATTTAATACAACCCAGGCTGCTGTCAAGATAAACTGTATGTCTGTGGCTGGTCAGAAGGAAAGCTCAGCTGTTGAAATTTAATGACTGTAGTGTTTTCTTTGACTTGTACTAATTTATTACTGTTAGTGGCCTGAGATATGAGTTGAAACACTGTTGTGATGTACTGCTGAAGGGTAAATTGCTATTTTAATTATAAATACTTCATTGAAAGGCTTCATATCTCAATTACTCCAGGTCCCACACACTTAAGTATATTTAGAAGTTTTTTGTCTTCATAGTAAATAGCAGTTTAAACAGCTGCTAAGTGCTTTTGAGAGGAAAAAAACCATCTGAGATAAGCAGAGCAACAGTTTTACTGGTGTAATGCTCTTTTTCAAGTACTGTGCAATAAATATTCTGTCATAACATAACCTCTCTCCACAAGACCAGCATGTTTGTGCTGTATACGGTACTTGTGTGTAGCCTGATAAGAACTAGAGGGAAATCCTTTTAGAGTAGATATCCTTAATCACGATGATTGCATACACAACACTCCTTTCAGTGCACAAGACAGCCAGCTATTTGTTAACTAAGGTATAGATTAATAGCATGTAGCACGTATGTAGCATGTTACCTAGTGTCTGGGTGAATTGATGACTTTTGGCTTTTTGCAGTTAGATTGTGTAGGTGCCACAGTAGCTGCTGCCTTAAATATGAGTTGATTACTGGCAAAAGATTGGAGCAGAAGCACAGGAAGCATTGTAGTGTTTCAGTGTGGGGAATTGAGACATGAGAGTGCAGCAACTAGGAGAGCAGAGCTGTAGAAATAGCACACAAAGCTGTGTCCTGGACAGAGTTGTGTTGCCTCTTCAGCACTTACTACATTTGTGTGACCCTGGAGCATTAGGTGGGGAGCCTGGAAAGGAACTTGTTCACCCTGGGGCAGAGAGCTGGTGGCTAATAGCCTGAGTTGCTCTTGGAACCCAATGAAATTTGATAAAATGCATGTAGACACTTGTAGATGTCCAACCAAAAATTTAGTCCTACTTGAAGTTTTTCATGTTCTTGGCTTACAAGACCAAGCAGTGTCTCTCTATTGAGGCCTGTGTACACAGGAATTAGTTTTAGTTTTGGCTGTGTTTAGTTTTAGTCTGGCTGTGTCTGTCCTGGTGAGTGTGGCTAAGGCATGGAAACGCTTGGGCATCTGTGCTGCTAAACTATTGGGATGCATTGCCCCAAGCCAGCCAGCACTTCCTCAGTCAATACCCAGCCATCCATGGTTCAGATGTTAGCTCAGGTCTTGGACCATTCCCAGAAGACAGTAAAGCTCATGGGAGACCTGTGCTTGGGGGAGAGGAAGGATAAATTCAGGAATTTGCCAGCAGCCAGTCTGCCGTTTGGCCTCAGGGCCAGGGAATGGACATTGACACTGTGTTAATTTTATTCATACAGATGTATCTTCTCATCTTCATTTTCTAATTAAATTAGCTGTTCCTTCCACAACAAAACTTCTGTCTTGCTCAGTTGTTGCAAGGCTCTTCACAGATAGATTGAATTGGTAATGAATTCACCATGCCCCTGCTTTGGGAGGATGGGACTATAATTAGACCTAAGTCAACGTGTCAGCTGTCCAAATAGTTTTTGCAAACCTTTTTTCTTTATTTTTACTATGGTTCCGCTACATGAACCACACACTGGAGGCATCTTTATTCTAGCTCTTGGCTACAGAACCCTCAGGTAAGAGCTCCACCAGCTGGTTAGGAAATGGTAGGTTTGTGTAACTACCGTCTGAGCCACAGTGGTGCATTGGAGTGCTCAGAATAAGGTACTCATCCGTGTCCCCTTGGGAGGACTGTCAGAGCATGCAGACCTCGGTCCTTGCCTCCCAGGTGGATCAGGCATTTCAGGATTCCACCTCATCTGTATTGCTCCAGTTCTCTGGTGTCAGGCATTCCATGAAGTGGAATTTCATTCCTGTCCCATGGTTTCTCTGTGTGTTATGCACATGTGTGGGGATTGCAGTGCTGGAACTCTAATGCTGAGTTTTCTTACTCTCTTCTCAGAATCAGCCATGTCAGAGACTTCATAACGAAGTATCAAGGATCTGAGGGAAGTGTTCCCTTCACTCTGACGACCTCCCTGCCTTTTCGAGAGCTGCAGGACGAGACGCTCACACTTGAGGAAGCAAAGTTGCAAAATGCTGTTGTTGTTCAGAGACTTCGGAAAACAACTGAACCTTTCAGACTCTTAGTGATAAAAGCGCCTGACAACGACTACAAAACTGCTGCTACACCTAATGGACAACTCAATAATGAGCAGAAAAATGCTATCAATAGTACAAGATCAAATTAGCTTTTAACTGACCAAAAATTATCTGCAGGGTGAACTAGGCGAAACCAAAAATGTAACCAGCAATATGTGGATGCCCTCTCATCCTCATGAACTGTGCTCTTAGAGAGCAGAATGGGTGCTGTGCTGTCGTCTGCTATAACAGAGGTATTTTCAGCTACATTGGGTGGTCAGAGCCTGGCTATGTAATGTAGCAGAGGAAACTACAGCAGATCATCCTTAGAATTTCCTTAGGTAAAAAGCTTCTTAGTTATTTAATAAGTGGGTCTAGGTGGAACAGTTCTCTGAGACTTAACTACTGATAGCACCTTTTAAGGAAAAATAGTATTTATTTTTGCACTTTGGACTAAAGTGAAATTTCACTTACATTGTAGTGTAAACTGCTGCAGTTTGCATTCTTCTCACAGTAACTCTTCAACAACCAATACTGCAGGCAAGCTCACCTTTGAACTCTAACTTGAAAATCTTTAGGATATAACTTTTATCACAAGATCTGCAGTGTAATAAAGTTCTGTCAAGTCTTCACATGGTGGTAGGTGCATGTGTGAGAAGACAGAAATGAGGTAGTCTGGTGCATACTGCATATGAAGTGCCTCAAAGTAAGCTCTGAAGGAATTGTTTTTATCAATGGTTGAAGTGCTTGCTGCTTCTTTTGGGCTGCTACGGGTATCTTGCAGATCAGGTGATGTTAAACTACCTAGCTCATTAGCATAGGGACCCACTTGTAGCTTTGTCACACAAACTTTAGCTTTTTTGGCTATCACCAAGCCGGAGTAGTAGTTTAGAGGGACACAGTTGTTCTTATATTTATCTGCCTCTGTCCTGAACTGCCCAACTGATGGAGGCACTAATTGCATGTGGTCAAGTTTCAAAGATGTTGAAAATCCTTACTTGAAAACTGAAGTTTTTTTCTCCACTTTGCATCATTTACATCCAAATATTTTATTTTGCTATTCATGTACTCAAGGCATAAAGTTTGTAGCCAACTATTCTGTGTTTTGCTAAAAGAGAAAACAACATAAAGACTTAATATTTTGTACTGTGTTTACTAAGCATGTGGGTTTGTGAATGGAACTAAAATCTCCAGGTAAGACATATCCCAGGATCTTCAGCAAGTCCAGACTCCTCTGTGCTACCTGTGCCAAAGGATGGTTGTTGGGGTTGTACTTCTTTTGTGTGGTTAAGTGAAAGATGGGTTTGGGTTTTCCTGGTTTTGTTCTAAATAGAAAATTACTTCATTGGAGCAACTTGTATTCTAAAAAATAGTGAGACTTCAGGCTAGGGATGTACTCTCTTTCATTCCCAGGGATATAAAACTGGTTTGCTTCAGCATCTCTCATGGTGTGTTTGAAATGAAAGTCAACTGGGCAAATATCTATTCAGTGTCCTCAGAAAACAAATGTCTGGAAACTGCCTTTTAACGCCTTCCAGTGCTATAAACTTCCTGTGCTACTGTGCCATTCAGGTTTATGTAGCAAGTGGTACAATTAAATTTTCTTTGCGCTTGCACTGACTTCTATATGAAAAACAAAAATAAATGTGCAGACAAATCCATTAGTAATACTGAAGACAAAAACCACCTACAGACACAGCTCCAACCCTCAGTTCCCAGAGCTTCTGAACAGAGAATTTTATTCATCAGTGCTTTCAAATTTGTCTTAATATAAAACTTAGTATTAGGAAAGCACATGTGGTTGATTGTGAGGTCAGCTGTTCTATCTAAAAGGTGCATGAAATGTCAAGAGTAACAGTGTGCTACTCTCCATGCATTTGCAGCACAAAAATTTGAAGAAATAAATAGTGTGAGATTGAAGGGGGAAGTGTAAAATTCTGAAGTGGGTAAATGCATTCTGCTTGCTATTCTTTAGTAAGTATTTTGTATTTCAATGTTGATTCATGTCTGCTACCAGCATTTTAAGAGATTGGACAGTTTGGTGCATTACTAAAACCAACTGTCTGACTGCAGCTTTTGTGTACTTGAGTGTGCATTTGCAGTTTGAAAGTGTCATGATCTTAATTACAAAATGAGAGAAAATCTTTGAAAAGTCTGAAGTGATGCTGCCTGTTGCCTTTTTAAAAATGCACTTTCTAATCTAGCACAGGATTAATGCAAACTGTGATAGAATAATGTATTTCCTAATTTGGAGAAAGTCTTTGGAATGAAGAGAAGACTTTCCTAAATTTAATTGGTTTTAGTCAAGTTTGTAAAGACTGATTAGCTACCTGTAGTGTCTGTAGACAGCAATTATGCATTGGTCAAACAACAGTATAACTGGCTTGATCAGTGAAACGCACAAATACCATCAGTTATTCATAGTTTCTTCACAAGCCTTTGCTATTTTGAGTAAAGCCTGTGCCTGAAGATATTTTACAGCAAAACTAAAGCAGCCAAGAGAGGAACAACGAAAGGAAATGTTTTCTGTAGTTTTCCTTTTGTGAAGAAACATGCAAATGCAGGTAAAAAGGGTTTAATGTGTTATGAAGATGGTGTGTAAAGACAACCTAAATGTGGAATTTGAATGTTTGATGCATGCCTTGTATTTAGCTATCCAATGGCAATCCATCTCTGTTTTGAAGCTCATCTGCCAGCCTCTAGAGACCCCCTTCAGAGAGTTTTCAATGAGATGTGTTAAAGGTCTGGGTCTTAGAATAAGGCATTAACAAATTTTTCTTTCAGAATTTTGCAAATTTGCTACAATTACTCTTACTAAACGAGGCTGCACAGGCTTTAAATGTTACTACTTCATGGCATAGTTTGCAGTGCCTGCCCAGTACCCACCGGGTGACTGTGTCAGTAGCAGAGCTCTTCGAATCAGTCACGCCAAAAAGCCCTGGGTGTAGAGATTGATTAGTCATCATCTCCCCAAGACAAGCAGGTCACAAGTCCTGTTGGCTTCGTTAAACCCTCTTCTCTTAGGTTACCTCACTGTTGAAAGGATTCACACTTCAAAATGCCATTTGTATGTCCTGTGATGCAGAGCATGCGTGCAGGAGCACTTTCCCAGGGGCAGGGTGCTGGTGAACTCGTGTGTTGGCTCGGGGGCAGCAGAATCACGATCGGTGAGGTTGGAAACGACCTCTGCGATGATCGAGTCCGACCTATGACCGATCACCACCTTGTCAACCAGACCATGGCACCGAGTGCCGCATCCAGTCTTTCCTTAAGCAGCTCCAGGGCCGGTGTCTCCCCGGCAGCCCCTTACATTCCATAACCACCCCATGGAAGAATTAGCAGCCGCTCTCCGCGCACCGTGTCCCGGCTCCAGCGCGGCTGTTGTATGATCTCTGTCCAGCTCACAGCGTGGTTCTACATCCCTGCACATCGGGAAACCGCGCATCCCTTCAAGGGGCAGAGGTGGCGTTTTGGGGCTGCATGAACACCCCCGTGCCCCGTCCTAGAGCCCCGCACCCTGTGGATCTGCCCCACTCCTCTCCGCACCGAGGGCTCGGGGTGTGTGGGCTCCCGTGTCCCGGGGGCTCCCCTGTCCCGGGCCGAGAGGGCAGCGCCGGCGCCTTGGACCCTGCAGGGCGCTGTGAGGGCGGCGAGGACACCGCCCGCTGTCCCTGGGCTCCGCCGCCCCGCCCCGGGCGCGCAGGTGTCGCTCGGGGTAGGATGTGCCATGGCGGGGGCTGCGAGGGACACCCCGGAGGGCGAGCAGGAGGTAGGGAGGGCTGCGAGGGGCGGGGTGGCTGTCGGGGGGCTTGGGGAGCCGCTCGGCCTCAGCCCGGGACGAGAGCGGGGTCCCGGCACGCCGGCGTTTCGCTTCCATCGCGGCGGGGCTGGGGCAGCCCGGGTTAGTGCGGGGCTCGGGGCGCGGTCCCAGCGGGTACCTGGAATAGCTGGAATAGCTCTTCAACCCTTCTCGCCAGGCAGCGCCGCGACCCCAGCGCTTTCCTTGGGATGCGCTGCACGGGATTTGCTCGCTGGACGCTGCTGTAGCAGAGAAAAGCGCTTTCCCTTTCCACTCCTGTCCCCTCCAGGGCTGCCTCCCGGCCCGGGGCAGGTGGGATGCGGGAGGCAGGAGGGTTCGCTCCCCCGGTTCCCAGGGTGTGCTGGGAGCGAGGGCATCTCCCGCTGCCTCCTCAGCCCCGGTGCTGGCCGCTGAGGAGCGGGAGGCAGGTGAGGGTGAGCGGGGACTCCCCGACTCCATGGCTCTCGAGGGAACACCAGGTGGGACTGGGAAGAGAAGATGAGGAAGCCTTCCACAGCATGTTGGAGGCATTCAGCCCATGGAGCTCTTCAGACATCTGGCACGTCCTGCTCAGGCTTGAATTTTTGTGTTTGGAAAGCATCTGGCTGAATTCATGGCATAAGTCTGCAGATGTTGCACAGATGCATCGTCTTTGTCTCATGGAGTTCCTCGGAGCTGCGTTGCCAGCAGCTGGAAGAATATCCTGAGAAAGCACCGCTGTATCCCACCTCACTCATACGCCCATGCCCTTTCCTAGGTGCCCGCACGCAAACCCTGCTCCTGTTTTCTTCCACTCAAGGGTGGGCTGGTGTCGCTAAGAAACCTGAAGCCAGTCCAGAGGATGCTCGGTGCCACCCGTGACTGCCACACTCGTGCTTTCGTGAGGCAGTTGTCTGGTCACTCACAGAACAGTGTTAATTAACAGTGTTAATTCCACGTGGAGAGGAAAGCTGACTCAAAAGCTGCTCCTCGCTAGCTACATTTACTTCATTGTTTCTCAGATAAACCTAGGCTAGCATTTATCTTAGTCACAGGTTTCGCTCTCTGTTCTTACTGCTTTTAAATTACTTGTTGGTTCAGTTCTGGACTCCACTGATAAGGAATATCTTAGGACAAAACGTGGCTGCTCCCTATGCCTAGAGCAGAGTTGCTGGGTTGTTTTCAAAGAGCTGAAACACTTTCTGTAGAAATAAGATGTTCTGCTATAAATATAGTATTAAATTTCTGTTCTGTTGGGGAACGGAAAATTTATAAGTATGGTTTTAATTTACAAGATAATAAAAAATAAAGGAACTACAAAGTAGGAGAAGCATTAATTTTCCATAACAATGCTTAAGCTTTCTATTTCAGGAGCAAAATCAAATCTCTCAGCTATTATGCTTTCTTGGTTTGCCTTGAAACACGATTAAATTTGATATGATGATGTATAAGTGCGAAATAGTCAAGTTAATCTGAGAACAAAACAGAATTGTAACTTTGTTTGACCTTTCTTCCTCTTACCTCTCATGCATCATTTCTCCTAAAGCTTGTAGAAGCAATTTGATGTTGACGTTCAACTACACTACAGGGGTCTCAAAACAAAAATTTGATTTTATTTTATGTTTCATTCCTTATTTCACCACTGCCTATGCATTCCTATCTCTAATGATTTGTGGAGTACTTTCAGCTTACTGACAAACCTGCATGGGTGAAGAAGCTGTTACTGGATTTCATAGGAATCAAGTATTTTGTGTTTTTTAAGGAAGCAATGCAGCAGGGACAGCCAGCCCTTGGAGGAAAGCCCTGTGAGCTGCTGATAGCCAGTGCTCTGCTGTTGGCCACACAGCCCTGCTCAGTATTATCCTTCCCAAGACAGTTCTGTCAGCATTTAGGAGCAGTATCATGCAAACCCAAGCAAGGCTGGGGTTGCTTCTGTAGATCCTGTGACAGCTGCCACGTACATCTTCTGTGCTCTTAATTGTAGGAAGTTAGAGAGAAGGAAATGCTTCAGCTTTAGTGGTGCAGGGTCCTACATTCATTTTACCACTTTTCATTGCATACTGAGGCAGAATATGTGGTCATTACCATATGAATTCAACACGGAGAGGCAAAAATCTACTATGGGCTGCTTCTTCTTGAAAGACACACCAGAATGTAGAGTCTGAAGGATTCTCAGCAGCCAGAAGCTCAGGGACACTCAATGAAGTTACCAGGCAGCAGATCTGCAGTGACAATGGCATTTCCTTTCACAGGATGTGTCATTTCCATACAGAACTGCTGTGGTGTTTATGGCTTAATGTACAAACAAGTTCCAAAAGCAATTAAGAAAAATAAAAGGAAAACAGGTATGGAGCAGTGATGAGGATGTAACCTACCTTCCAGGGAGCTCATGACCTGCAGATTCCCTGTGTTTCTGTGGGTGACCATACAGGACACCTCTCTATGCTGTGTCTATCTGACAGCTTGTTTTATTCTGAAAATAACATTCATAATCAAAATTTAATTAAAACTTAACTACTGCTGTGACCAAAGTATTAACTTTGCTTCAAGGTGATCTGGGAGCATGGTTCAGAGAATAGTTGAGCAGCATTCTGGGTGTGTGTGGAATTGCAGTGATACTTCATAAAAAATGTACTAAGGTTGTCAATTTTCTAACCACGAAACTGCTGTAAAGACAGGAGTACCACCTGCAGCCTGTAAGTTTAGATCTTGGTTGACCATTTCGTGTACCACAGCTTTAATTAGATTAGTTCTTAAGAACTTGACATTCTTCGTGTTTTAAAAACATTTTGGAATCATGTATATTATATAGAGGCATTTACTTTTGTGTTTTACCACAGCCTTAGCTATTGAAACGACAAAGGGCAATGGTTTCAAACTAAAAGAAGCAAGTAAGAATGAAATTCTTTACCATGAAGGTGTTGTGGCCCTGGCACAGGTTACTCAGAGAAGCCGTGGCTGCTCCATCCCTGGAAGTGTTCAGGGCCAGGCTGGATGGGGCTCTGAGTGACCTGGGCTGGTGCAAGGAGTCCCTGCCCATGGCAGAGGGGTTGGATTGATGATTTTCAGAAGTCCTCTCCAACCCAAACCATTCTGTGAGTCTATGAAAATTACTAGTGAAAGTAAGTGTGAAAGCAGCATTATGGATCTAAAAGTTGGGTTGTTTTTTTTTTTCCATTGTTGAGGTTGCAGTAGGATACAGGACTTGCACAGCAGCAGTTTATATCTCTTGATTTCAGCTGAAAGTCATCTTGACAATGCTTGGAGATCAGGAGGGAAAGTATCAAGGGAAAGCAAACTTTTAAAGTAATTTAATGACTAAAAAATAAAACTTTAAAAAGGGAATGACTAAAAAATGAAAAAATGAAACACAGTTTTAAAGTACACAGCCCCTGGAGCAAAGCTCAAGGGCAATGGGTCAAACTAGCAAAATTCTGTGGACCCACAAGTCTAGTAAAGCTCATTTATTAGTACTTATGCATGGAAAATGAAGAGTTACTTTGGACAGCAAATATGTGTAAAGTCTGTTTTGTTTGCAATCTCTTATCAAATTAAATAGTATAATTGTTACAATGAAGTCTGTCTTGTGACTGTTTATCACTTTTTTTTTTCCCTGCAAAGGAGAAAATTGCCAATGCAGTGTAAAGTGAGGCCTGCTGTGGTGATAACATTTTGCAGCTCATGCCCTGACAGTGTCCACTTTCCTTGGGTGTAGTAATGGGATCCCACCCTGTCTTTTTCTGGGAAAACACAAAAAGGAAGGAGTCCTGATACTTGTGCTTGTTTGTTCACACCCATTCTGATAAAACAGTTCAAAAGGGAAATGTTCAGATGATGAAAGGCACTGCCTAGAAGTCTAAAACTTTTCAAAACTGTTATAAAGATGATGGGTTAGTAAATTTTAAAATGTTCAGAAATTAGGTAATGTGTCAGAATATCATCGTGGTGAATTTCATTTCCATATTTCTATTTTTATCCCAATATAACATAAGAATTAAGGGCTTGTGTAGTCAGTTCAGAGAGAAGACAGACCCAGGATTGCTACTCCTCTTCATGTTTTCTGGCTTCTGTTGACAGCAAATTTTAAAGAGGGACTGAAAGCCTAAAAGTTAAAAATTTGATTTGATGTGTTGTCCCTCTGAAAGGAATGCAGATTAACAAAGAGTCGTTTTCTTCCTTCATTTTGAATTTTATGGCATAAAATTAAATCTTATGGTTTTTTAAAGGCTTTCCACTATCCTGGAACTTCTACTATTGGGAAAAAAAACCCCATGTTCTTCATTAGGATCTCTATTAGAAACTGTGCAATTTTTGTATTTTAATTACTGGTATGCAACCTTATTTTCAACATTTATCTTATTCTTATTTGGGTATTATAGTTGCGAATACTCTTGCATGCTTATGGTACTTTTCAAGCATCAAATGACAAATGAGAGAGCACAGTTTTGCAAAAATTTTTACATATACTGGGAGTGATGTTCTAAAAAAATCTTAGGTCCAAAATCACTTACCATATGATGCCGATTTTCAAAAAGATATAGAAAAGTCAAGTCAAAAGGAAGATGTGCAAAGTCAAGTGACTTTGCCAGTGTCACACCAGCATTTTGTGACAAAGGAAGGAACAAAGCATGAATGTTTGGGATCTGATTGGTCTCTGGAACTTTCTGTGAATGTTGTTTAATTACTGTTGCATGAGGGTATTTATCAATTATTATCTGAAAGGTTAATTTTTTTAAGTAAAAGTTTTCAGCATTTAAAATATGAATTAAGCATTCAAAGACAAAACTAAGCTCAAATAATAGTGTAGCACTTCTCTGCTGGTTCTTGCTTGATTGCAGACTTGTTTCCTTCTAATAGCTTGTGAGAGGAAGGTAGGTAAGCCTGAGGGTCATCACAACTCACTTTTAGGAACACTGTAATCTGTTTTTTGATGCTGAATTAGAGAACAAACCCATTAAAAATCAAAGTAACGAGCACCCAAATGCCTGTTGATGATAGGGGTTGAGTGCATATGGATTTATTAGTGGAATAGCTGTGAAGCAAATACATTAAAGTGGTGTTAACTACAGACTTTAACCTTATCACTTGTGTAGCTTTTATCTTGTGCACCTTGGTTTACTCATGGTTTGTTCTGCTTGTTCTCACACAGGGGCACAGGCTCTCGGTGTGCAGCAAGCTGTGCTATGCCATAGGAGGTGCCCCAAACCAAGTGGCAGGGAGTGCTGCTTCTTTCTTCCTGCAGATCTACCTGCTAGACATAGCCCATGTAAGTAGCACAAGAAACTTTTGCAGACTGTGGACTGAACTCTGATATTGCCAGCCGTGTCCCTGGAATGGCAGAAGGGGAATTTGTTAATAAATATTTTCAATTGTCTTGTTGTCTTTGCCTCTAGCTGTTCAGCATCCTGGAACAGCATAAACTTGTCCAGAACTAATTTCCCCTCCCGCCTATTTTTCTTTCTGTCTTGAGATGGCTGTTGTTCACTTTTAGTTTGGGATCATTATTAGAACTATGGGTGCTGTAGAGCTCACACATTTACAGACACAAGAAAGATCAGTTCTCAGTGTCAGGAGTCAAAGAGTGTAAGATACGAGACACCTGAAAACATTAATATCACCGTGCTGAGGTTATGAAGTTTTGTTCAGTGGTTTAGTTAAAAATCACTTCAGTTGCACCCAACTGTTTTTGTAGCCAACATAATTTCACACAATTTTTATGTGGTCTGTCTAAGGTAATTTCATGGCAAATAAAGCTGAGTTATCCTTCCTGAAGGTTCTTTGCTTCCAGTCTGTGGCTCTCTGGTGCAGAAGCAGACCCAGCAAAACAAAGCATGAGGAGTCATCCCATTCATCTGACTTTCAGCTGCTCCAGCTAGATTTCAGGGCAGCAGAGACACAAAGAAAATCAATCCATAAGCAATTTTTACTGGTTTGGATTGTCTTGTATGCATGCATGGTAACTAGGACAAGGTACTAGGATAGAAAAAAAGATTTTAGGGAGTTGAGGCCAAATTTCAGGGACTGTGAGAACAGCTCTGAAAGTACAGGTGGAACTTCTGCACTAATGGATGTTCCTATTTGCTGGAAAAAAAACAGGAGCTTCTGGGTTAGATATCATTACCCATTTGCTGTCTAAAGACAGGATATTAAGACTAGGAGGTGTCCAGAAGTTTGGGTTTATGTTTTTCCTATAAAAGTCTGGTATTAAAAGCTGACTTGTGACCAAATAAAATTTTCAACACAGTCCATGTACAGCTGAGATCATCTTGAGTGTCTTGTTGAGATCAAAGTCACAAGACGTAGAAAAGGAGCCAGTTATGGACAGCAGTGTGAAAAATGTGAAATGATGGTGTGGAATCTGAGGAGTTGGAGGTGGAACAGGAGCTTGGGGTACAGCAGGGCGGTGGAGCAGCTCTGACTAAAGCTGTTACCCACTGTCATCAAGGATGGCAGTACAAGCCATTGGAGATGATGAAGCAGGAACTAAATGAGAAAGATTCTAACACCATTTTCCCAGGATCCTTAGAAATATGGCAATTTCCCCATTCTTTGCTTATCACAGAGATTGAAAATTCTTGAAGCAAGGGACTGTTCTTTCATGTATTTGTGCACAGTTCCAGAAATCTGGGGTGCCATCTGTACATCTTTGGGTACTACCTAAATAAGTGACATAAAATAATTATTTTATTAGCAAGCTTCTACTGAAACCAAATAATTTTGCTTAATGTCTGTAGTGATATACTTACATTTTCATTAAGGGGCTTAATTATTTGTTCCCTGATGGTTTAATTTGTTCTCTGAAGTAGTCCTGCAGGGACAGGATTTATTTCAAGGCCTGATAAATAGCTCTGAAATCCTGTGTTCTTTCCCACACATTTTCAGGGGAGAGAATGTAATTATGTAGTCACTACCTGGATTTATTTCTTGTCCACTTAGAGAGCAGAACTGTTTTAGCTTCTGGAGAGAATGTGAAAGTCAGCAAGTGTCATCTTCCATACATAATCTGGATCCTTTCTAAGAAAATTATCTTTTTATTAATTTTCTGTAACTTTCAGTTTTTCAATTTGAATTCCTTGTTCCAGCTAAATTACCTGTATAGAGTACAGACATAAGTGGAATTCTAAACCACACAGGATCCTTGAGTCAAATTACTAGAGGACAGCAAAATTCTCTGATAAAAGGATCCTAGTATTTATTCCTTTTGAGATGGGCAAATTTAGCATATTTTATCTTGTATTTTATTAACACTGAGAAGTTTCTGGCATTGGTGCTGACAGACACTGTCTAGATTTAGGAGATAAGAAAATGCAGCCAAGGGATGTATAAACCCATACCAATGATAAAGACAGGGTGACTATAAAGACTCCACTCCTAACATGAAAGAGATTTTACTTTTTCCTCAGGACTTCCTTCCACCTCTATGTATTAATATCCACTTCCTTTCAGTCTGTTCAATTATCTGAACAAAATATGAATGTGGAACTCACCTAATTCGTAGTTTTTTGTTCTTGTCCCCCTCAATAACTGCAATGTTTCAACCCCTTGCCACCCTCTGATGGCTGTGGGAGGGCACGAGCCAGCAAAGATGGATCAGCAAGAAGATGGGACACAGTCCAGTGCTGATCCAGCTTCATCCCACCATGCAGCAATGGAATGGAGAGCCACTCTTGTTACCTGCTGGGCACTGCCATTCCCAATCCTTCCCTGCTCACAAACTTTCTAGGGTGGAGTAAATGTCTTGGAGCTGGTGGTGATAGGAACATCGGCTGCCACTGCAATTTCACCTGAATTGGGCTAAAGTGTAGTGGGCATTATATCAGAAGTCTGTAGCACCTGCCTTTTGTGCTGGTCATCCAGGACATTCAGAGATCACTGCTTCCTTCTTTCACCTCTGAGAGAGCACCTGCAGCAAATTCTGAATTCTAATTGAGGGGACCTGCATCAGCTGCATTCCTGGTGATGCTGCCTGGGAGACAGCATCCTTTCAGGGAAGCAGAGGATACCTGCTCAAGCTTGGTGCTGTATCAGCTGTGTTTTCCAGGCCTTTGGAGCACTGCTATGTGGAAGCACAGAGATGAAGGGATCTTGTCTGCTCTCACTCTTTGAGCTACAGAGGCCCTTTCAGCAGCTTCTCTCAATTATTCATGTGAGGAACATCCACATTTATACAGGTTTCAATGACTTTTTTTCAGGACTATAGTTGCAGTGACATGAACTGAGCACTTGGAAGAGAGCCCACCCTTTTTAACCATTGTGTGATGGGAATTCCTAAGCTCTGTACAGATATATGTGAAAAAATAACTGCCTTGCCTGGGACAAACTGTATTTCTACATAGGGACTAAAGTATAGCCCACCTGGGTTAATTTCAGAGGTTTTTCTACTTGGCCATTTTATTCTTATGTAATCTATGAACATTTTTCAAGTGAGATGTGATGGACACGTGCTGGCAACTTTGATTTGAGCAGATGTGCTTTACGCAATTCAGTTGTCACCACTCAGTCCCCAGTGAATAAAGTCTGTTGTGCAACAACCTCTTCCTCAGCCACATGCCACCAGTTGGAAGCCTTGTTGCTAATTTCAGGAGAGGAAAAAAAACATTTCTGCATGTAAACAACCCCCTCTATCATTTTCTAGATCAGGTCAAGATAAAGATCTGGGGACATGGAGAAGTGTGGGGGAAAAGCAAGAGGGTGATTACAGAGGGGCTCTGTCAGATTGTATGACTGAAACAAGGACTTTGCTATTTGACATTTTTCTCATCCTAAACACATTCTGGATCTTTCCTTCCTTGCATTTTTCCCTTCTGATCCCTTAATTCACAGCACCAATCTCAATGTCTCATTTTGTTTGCTGTGGGTAACCAATAGGAATTTCTATGACAGCAGCAGAAGTGTTTTGTAAATGAACTATCATTATTCTTTAAAACACTGAGGTGTTTTTTTCTGGAAAGTTGCTTTATGCTGTTTCATTGTATTGTGAAACAATATGGCTCTTGTTTACTGTATTCTGTCTGTACTTTCAGATTACTCCATTTCATGCCTCTTTGGTGCTGTTCATTGGCAAAGCCTCAGGTGCAGTTACTGATCCTGTTGCTGGCTTTTTTATTAGCAAAAGTAGATGGACAAAAATTGGCAGGCTCATGCCTTGGTAAGTATAAATGTGTACATATATTTACATATATATGTGAATATTGACTGTTGTGATTGTACAGCCACCTCACTGAATTACTCTCAGGGGTTGTATTCCACATATATAAAATAAAAACTAAAAATTGCCATGTCATTTTTAACTCGTTCACCCATGAAAACACAGAAGAGATTTTCTACCACTGGAGATGCAAATGAATAAAGCCAAGAGACTGTATTTTTAGTAAAACTGGAAGCTGAAATCTAAAACTTTCTTAAATCTGTGGTTGAATTTTTATCTTTGTTTAGATTTCTTTAGTTTGACTTCACTCTTCCAACAAAGTTGGATCTTATTTCTACTTCTGTCCCAGAGTGCCTTCACATCTCACATCAGCCTTCCAGGATCTCTTTTAACTCCCCAGGTCTTTCAGTTCAGGGAAGGATGCATGCACAGATGTAGAACAGTTGAATGCTGCCCAATAGGAACGAGATTGACAAGTGTGAAGCAAGAAAAATTGGAAAGGATTGGTCCATGCTAGAGGAACTCCAGCTCATCTATGCCACAGGGCATGTGATAGTTGTTTTTTTTTAATATTTTGGAAGCCAAGGGGAGATTGACTACTGTACTGGTTTGTATTAATTTAGACCCACCACAACTACTGTGAAACAGGGAGTCTTTCATCATTTTATCTCATACATTACATGGATCTATTGTAAGATATTTTAAATTAATTGTGGATTTTTAATTGAAATAACCCACGAGCTTGATTTACAACAAAAATCTAAGAGTAAATGTGCCTTGAGCAAGGAAGCTGAAATTTTGGGGAAATTGAGAGCAGTTTTTTAGCTGATTCTCTTGCTGTTGGGCAGTTTTACAGCTACAGAAACTTGTCCATGGGCAGCTTATATCTGACAAAATAAAGAAGGCAAGTACATGTTGGAAAAAGCCGAGATCAGCTGCCCTTGGCCCAGTAGGAACAGGGCCTTCAGGTTGAATTAAGCTTTTTGTCAAGTCTCATGGGAAAAGAGGAGCTTGCTGCTGTTTTTCTTTTCAGGATTTGGTTGGAGGCCAGGTAAATGGTGTGGTTTTTAATGACCACTGAATTAACTGAGTAAGAAAGTTATCCAAAAAGAAAACAATGAAATTTTTATACAAATGCCATTAAAATATTCTGATGCTTTTTTCTTTTTTTTAAGATCTCTGAAAATACAGCAAGTGCATGTGTTTATTGTTAGTGTTACATTGATGTTAGAATGATTCCTGTCCTAGCACAAGCATGAACTTATCTTTTCACTATAAACCAGCTCCAGCACATCTTGCACTTCTTACAGGAAAAGTGCTTATCTAACCCCACCTTTCATCTAACAGCTGCTTTCTTTACAGGAGAATTTTGTCTGTGTTTTTTTGTAGCACTAATATTTTCATGGGAGTTCTGTTCCTAGACTTTGAGAGTCAGGCCATTTTTTTACAAAGGGAAAAAATGGGGCTTCCCTTAGCTTAAAAATACTTTAGTATTCTGATTTTTTTCTAACTTCTTAATAATCTAGAATGAAGCAATGAAATCTTTTTCAGTCAGAAAAGCTTGCCAGCAAAGCAAGAACATTAGTAAGGGAGGTGAATGTTTAACTATCGCTTAATACTGTCCTCAATGTAACACAAAGTCATCAATCACTTATTTAATGGCTTTAAAAGGCAGAAGCAGACATTGACTTGAAATACTGGTTGAACATTTTGTCAAAAGAGATAATAGCTGACAATCAGATATTCAGCAACTCCAGCAAGGCTTTGAAAACTCCCTGGCATTAGAGAAGAAAGGAAAATGTGGGAAAGGGGAAAACAATACCAAGAGGGTTGTTGCTAAATAGTTGCATGAAAAAGTGACTGTGAAGATATTTATTGTGGTGACTCTGCCTGGACACCATGTGGAACAGCTCATGCTTTTGGAGAGGAAGGTAGATTCCCTGAGATGTGTTAGGATTTTACCCTTGTTTATGTTTTCCATTGCTGTGGGTGAACTGTGGGCTGGGGAACAGAGGGACAGAGAATACCAGAACCTGGCACTTTCCTGGTAAATGTTCAGCTCCCAGTGATGCTGTCCCTCCCAAAAAGCAGTGTGGGAAAGCCATTGTTTTACTAAACTATTTACCCACATTACTCTTTTGTATTCCAGGTTTTCAGTTCACGATTACAAAATAATCAGCTGACCCCCAATGTCAGTAGTGCTGTTGTGAAGGGATTAATCTGTTTTCTGTTTTATGTGTTTGGAAATTTTTTGTTAGGATCTTGGTCATCTAAATACATTGTTCAGTGCCTGATTTACAAGAATACAGGAGAGGCCTGATGCTACAGCTCAGACATTTAGGAAATAATAGCATCTGACCAATTCTGTATCATGGAGTTTGACGAGTGCTACTTGCCTGAGATAGGTTTCAGACTAATGTCATTAATTGCTGGTTAATGGCAATGTGTATGGAATATAAGTTTCTGTGGTTCTTTTTTTTAAGCCACCTTCCTCTCTGAAGGTGATCCTTTTGTATTTGAAGTGATTAGGAATTAAATTAAGGAAATGATCATATACCTAACTAGACACAGAGTGTAGGAGCTTTCACAATGGGGTGTCCATTGTCTCGTATGCTTTTTTTCAGTATTTTTAAGCAACATATTTGCACTTGCTTCAAGTAGCAGTGAAGAGATTAAGTTCAGGGGAAAACCAAAGGCACTAAAATTAGAAGAGAGAATCTCAATAATAAGTAAATTCATGTAAAAACTGCTGGAGTATGCAAAGACATGATGACAGAGCTTAGTGATTTTTTTCGGCCATTCTTTCTAATAAATGCCTAATCTGAGACATGTGCCAAGGAATGGCAATATAGGTATGCTGTTACAGTGCACATGAAAGGAAATTATGTCTCTTCTGAGTCATATATTAATTTTAGTGTAGATAATTTCTTTCAGATTTGCTGTCTTTTCCATTTTATGAAAGTATTAAACTGTGTATTTTTATATTTTATATTGATATATTTTATATTCATCTATGTATTTAATGCACACTAACTTTTGATATTTAAAAGCATACATTACTACAGTTAGAAAAATTGCACATAAAATAAATTGTGTTATATTAATTATTAGCAGGAAAATTTAACGTGCTTTGCTATTTTAAGATTGTTGATGTGTGTAAATTTTCTTCTCAGGGTGCTGGCATGTACACCCTTCACAATAGTCTCCTATTTTTTTATGTGGTACCTGCCTCCATTTGTATCAGGAAGAGTTGCTTGGTATCTGACTTTCTACTGCCTTTTCCAAGCACTGACCACAGTAAGTAGATTACAGGTCATGAGGTTCTCAGCAGTAACTTGCTTTTTGTCTGTCTATATTAAAGCATTCATATTTAGTAAACTTGTTTTCACATTTTACTTCAATTTCTAGTGAGTTTAAGGGACAGGCAGGTGCCCTTTTATCAAACTCTCTGCTGGTTGATGGTTTTCTGACAGGGCTTTTTCTAGTAAATGAGCTGCTAATTCATCCAGGTTACCTCCAGTGCCCTCAACTCATTCTTGTAGAGATGTTCCTAATTCCAGTTAGACACCCAACTTCTCATAACTTCTGTTCTCAGGAGCAGATTAGGAATTCTGTATTCCTGTATTAAACTTCAATATTTCCCTAGGTCCTTTGTTTCCCCAGTAGAAAGAAGGTCCAGAAGACATCCATAATGATTTTAAATAATTTCTTTCCTCTTTCTTTTGAAAGAGAAACACAGGGTTTCCATGGCAGTTTTGAAAATGTACACCCTTGCCATTGTCAGTGGAAGTGGACAGAAATGCATTTTGTGCAAACATTGTGGGATGCAGAGTTCAAGACTTAATTTGGCTACAGATCTCTGGGGTGGTGGGAACACCACAGAAAACATGGTTGTTCAGGCAGGTTCATGTCCCAGTTCCACTTTGCAATGCTCTTAACTTATTCTTAACTCAAATAAAGAACTGTGTGGCACAATGGTGCTGAAAGACAGAAAATAATTTTCACTATTATCTCCTGGATTTACATAATTAGATATCTGAAATATTTGGGGTATTGGTGTAGTCTTCTGGCTTGAATAAAGTGGAAAACTGTATTTCTCCTTTATGGCTTTGCTTCCAGTTAGTTAATTCAAACTAGGAATATGATAGTGTCCTGGTGCAAAGAAAGCAAAATTCCTTTGAGTCTCTCTGTGAAGGATATTTTCCCAAGAAAACTGAAGGAGCACAACATCAACCCTCTGGGTATTTTATTATTTTTTATTTATTATTTGTATTCTGAAAGATACTGTTTTCCTTTTATATGCTTTACAAATCAGAAAGAAAAGGCAGGTCTTTGTGCTAAAAAATTGGTTGATGGTTCTCAGTGTTGTGAATGAATGTTCAAGGTCCCATTAAACCATTTTCTTGGATATCAAAGGAATACAGCAGTTTTACCCTGACATTTCCTAAGTCATGTTTTTTCTCTCCATAGTTATTCCAAGTACCATATTCTGCTCTCACCATGTTTCTCAGCACAGACCAGAGGGACAGAGATTCTGCAACAGCATATCGTGAGTGTGATCTGGGCTCTCTCCTGGGGACTGGGGCTGAGCTCTATTGAAAATCCTTCTTCATCTATAGGAAGCTCCTAGTGATTTGTGTCCCTAAACTGGACTTTTATAAGAATGTTTCAATATGTGATGAAAACTAATTTGTCTTCAAAGGAATTGCATTTCTCTAATTAAGTAGGAGACGTTAATATTTAATCATCTCAAATTGTCTGATTAGCTATAAACTCTTTTTGGTTTATTGCTAGCCAGAGGAAACAATAAAAAAATCACTCTTAACCAAGTCAGAGTAAGGAATAATGATTTAATTTAAGGTGATTTGTAAGGGAAAAATCAAGAAACATTCAATCAAAGAAAGCATGAAAGTAATTTTGAGGAGTTTGTTGTTTTGGTTTTATTGGGGGTTTGTTGTTTTGTTTTGTTGCCTTCTTTTTTTTTAGTTCATGTTGCCTTAGATTTATGTGTTTCATGCTATAAATACAAATCCCAAACCTGTTTTCTGAGAAAAAAATTTGAGAACTAATAGAACCAAGACACTTAACCTCACCAAAAAGGAAAGTAATTTTGTGTGCATGTTCACACCAACTGAAATCTCTTTCTTCATTTCATCTGTGTTTTTTAAATTATTTCTGACATACACCAGGTAGTTTAAAGGCAGATCTCGTTGTAATATAACTAGCACTCTGAGTGTATTAGTTAAAAGGATGATGCTTTCCAGACCATATCTCTGGCTCTTCAACAACCAAGACCAGACAAACTTTTAGCTTTGAAGCAAATCAATCAGACCCAAAAAAGTGCAGTGAAAATATTCTCAAGATTTCCTGTATAGATCATAAATTGAATGCAAAAACATTTTCTTCTCCTCCTGCCCTCTTCATGTTCTCATGCCTTCTTTATCGTGTAACTGCATCAAGCAAGGTAAAAAGAAAAAAGTCAAATATTACATGAAAGACTTTTCTATGTCTTAATTTGTCCTTAAAACGTTGCTTTAGAATAACTTGTAGGTTTTTCTGTTGCATCTGTTTTCTCTTCCTGGCAAGATCCCTTTTCTCTTCCTTTAGTCCTTCTAACCCTCAACATACTTGATTATGTTGAAACCCACAGAGGCACAGTGAAATAGTGAGAAGTACTAAAAATGTGTGTCAAAAATTCTAGATATGATATTCCCTGATCAACCCAGTCCCTCTCCAGAGATATGGAACACTTGTAATTTGCATTACCATCAACTATCTTTAAGAAAAAATCTGGACTGACAGTCACAGGACAGGACTAAACAGCAGGAGATTCCAGTTGTGTTATATTCTTTGGCACTGACTGTATTCTGAGTCATCTGGCCTAAATTCTGACTAAATCCATGTACCTAGTGTTTTCTATTGTCTGGTTTTATGTCTTCAGAGGCTGTGATCCAAATAAATGTGCTTTCTGATCTGCTAGTCCCATGCAAGGCTTCATAAGCATGTGAAACTTGTACTCATAAAAGCTGTTGAACTCCGTGGCTGAGAGGTGTCACACATTTATAGTGTCATTTTATTGTTCAGAAAGGGTTTAACTTTTGAGTGTACAGCTGTACTCATAAACCAAATTAAGGTGGTGCAATGAACCAGAGTTTTGACTTTTCACATGTTGGTATATTTGTGTATGTTGATATGTGTTTGGAGCAAAGTTTTCTTGTCATGGTTATGCTTACGTGAGAACCTTTTTTTTTACCTTTTCCTTTTTTGGTGTTTTACTTAAACACTTTTGCCTCTTTTCGGGCTTCATAGAGATTTTTTCTTGTTGATAGACTGTCTTGGATGCAGTCAGTTGTTCAGGCATTTCTTCAACTGTTAAAGGAAAACAGCTGTGTAATAAGAAATGTGCTCTTAAAAATAAGATTGGGATCAGAGGATCCATTACCCTCTGCTGGAGACAAGCAGAACTGCCTATTATGAATTTTATTCTGCTGTTGCTGTTAATGCAAGGTAGAAATACTGGATTCCAAAGTTGCCTTAACATAACTCCTACTTACATTCTGGCCAAAACACAACCTACTTCAAGGTACAATCTGCTGGCAGATCAGCTTTCTTGGCTGATGTGGAAAGTAATACATCATAAATTCTGAGCACACAAGAACTTTGAAAGATACCTGTTCCTCAGCTCTTGCTACTACTTAGAAAAAAAGTTTCACAGTGGTTGTATTTCTGGTGCCTCTAATGATGCTTCTGGGTTTTATTCTGTACAAGTGCTTGATAAAATGCAGATGTAGAGCCCTAGACAAAGGTTATGAATGTGTAGGTGGTGCTCTGAATGAAAGGTGTGATTTGAGTGCTTTGCCTTTGCACTGAGTTTGGGAGCTCTGCAACGCCCAACTGAGACCAGTTTGTGTCCAAACACTTCAGACCAGATTGGGGTTAGATTTCCACCATCTGCCAGGATTTTTGTGTGCATGGACTGAATTGCAACATTGCTGGTAGGATTGGATGTGAAGTTTAGGGAAGGGCCTTTTTTTACTTCCCATTGGTTTAAATTAATGTAACATGGCACCTCAGATTTTCCACTCAAAAGCATTCTCAGTTTGGGAACAAAGTAGTGATGGTTTAAAAGGTCCAGATCTGCTAGGGAACCTCTCTTCCCTTTTCCTTACAGGATCTTGCATAGTTACACCCAGACTGCATTGCTGCACTCTCTGAACCCCTCTCAATCTGTGTGTGTTGCCCTCCCTTTAGATGGTGAAGTATTTTTATTCCTTTACAGGGACACAAAAAAAGCCACATGTCTGAGGTCACCTAGGAAGGCTGTTATAGATCAGGACACTTGGATAAACATGAACCTAGGAGGTTTTGAAATGCCTGTCACTTCCCAGAGGGACTACCATAACCACCAGGACACAACCTGCTCTGGAAGCATCCCTTCAGAATCCTCCGTGGTGCTTCTCAGAAAGGAACAAATGACCCTGGGAGCCACCAAAAGAGAAAAAACAGGAAAAAAGTCTGAAGTTTGGGTCAATGAGAAGTCCATTCCCTCCCAAATGGGGAGACTTTGTCCCCATCCTTAATCTGTTCATGCATTCAGTCCGGATGTATCTTTATGCAAAATGTGTAAAGAGTCTCTGGAGCCAGGACAGGAATTCAGTTTATCTTCTGGCCATGGGGATGCTGGGTATGGCCATATTGCAGGGAAACAGGCACGGTAGGCTTGAAATCCCTCAGTGTGAGGAGGGTCTAGAACCCAAATTTCTCACCATTTGCCTTAACAGAGCTGCAACACCTGGTCAGGTTGTTGATCAATGTCATGAGATGATGCCCATGGTTAAATTTTTATTTTCCTAAGTGGAAGCTTTGGTTGTTTTGTTGTTTTTTTTTTTTTTTTTTTTAAGATGATCCTCTTTTTCTGGTGAGAATTAGTGATCTGAATCACTCTGTGAGGTTGAGGTAGAGAGTTCTTCCTGACTCTGGCCTTAGGCAATTAAGAACAGCACCTGCTGTTTCCAAGAGCTTTGTAGCTGTACTATTTCCATAAACCTGAGGCAAGTATCACTTTATTTTACAGTTGGAGGACTCAGAGGTCTGATTAGAGAAGTGTTTCACAAGTTGCAGTCAAGTTTGAGATGAACAGTCTGATGTCTTGACTTTAAGTCTTGCTTTGGAAAAAATGGCATTTAAAAAGTAGTTCTGCTCTGGTCCTCAACTCCACATTATCTTCTTAATTTCAGCATTCACATCTCTCATGCAGATTGTATAGAAAAGACTCTTTCTTGGATGCTTCTTCTCAAAGCTGATCAGAAAATGAAAGACAAAACTCTCCTTGAAACTGTTCCTATCACTGACCTTTCAGTTCTTCTGTTCTTGCTTGGCATTGCTCATTCCTGTAAGAGGAAATGGTTTGATAATGTTTCTCTTCAGTGAGGCAGACGAGCAAGAGTCTCATCCTCACTGCATATTTGGGCTTCCATTCTTTAGGAATGACCATGGAAGTTCTTGGGACCTTGATTGGAGCTGCACTTCAGGGGCAGATTGTGGCCAGTGCTCACGTCTCTCCCCACTGCACTGTGAATCCCTCAGAAAACACCACTGACTCCTGGCATGACACTGCCACCATTCCAGACCCCTCAGATCCTCTGTCTCATCAAGTAAGTGTCTATGGGAATACACTAAAGTATCCTACAGAGAAGGGTGGGGATGTTTCTCTAATACCATGTCCTATCCAGCTGGATGAGTGTGAACTGACTTCCATGAAATCAGTGATGCTGGAGCTGAGGCAATGACCTTGTTCCAGACAATGCTTTCCATCTTTGCTGTCTTTGCAACCCCTCCTCAGTGTGGCACCAGAATTTCTTTGAGGAGCTTTGCAGAAGGTGCCCAATCCATAAAGCAGCTGGGAGGGACATGGCCACACTTTGTTTTCACTAGGGGCTGATTTACAGTTTATAGAATCTTAGTAAGAAAAGCAGTTTACCCCTCCAGAAATACTCTGTCCAGTTCTGGGGTCCCCAGCACAAGAAAGGCATGGACCTGTTAGAGCAGAGCCACAGGATGGTCACAAAAATGGTCAGAAGGTTGGGGGACTTCTCCTGTGAATACAGGCTGAGAGAGTTGGATTCGTTCAGACTGGAGGAGAGAAAATTCCAGGGAGAATTTATTGCAGCCTTTCAGTACAAAAGGGGGCTTTTAAGGAAGATGGAAGAAACTTTTAACCGAGGCTTGTAGTGACAGGACAAGGAGGAATGGTTTTAAACTGAAAGAGGGTACATTTCGATTAGATATAAGGAAGTTGTTTTCTTTTTTTGCAATAAAGGTGACAAGGTAGTGTCACAAGTTGTAACACTACATCCACAGAGAAGATGTGGATGCCCCTTCCCTGGAAGAGTTCAAGGCCAGGTTGGATGGGGCTCAGAGCAACCTGGTCCAGTGGAAGGTGACCCTGCCCATGGTAGGGGGTTGGAATGAGATGATTTTTGAAAGTCCCACCCAACCCAAACCATTCTATGTTTCCATGAAAACATGGTGGCTACAGCAGGGTCTTTCAGTTCAGCAACACTGATTTCCAAAGGAGTTACCACTGGAGATCTCCTGTACAGATTAATGGCAATTTTGTGAACAAAACTCTAAGTCCTATTTGGAATCTGTACTTTGAGAAGGTACAAAGTACTGTTGAAAGTAAATGGTTGGTAATAGCCCATTAACGATGGCAGATCTCAGTGGTTAACATGAGGAATGAACCTGGGGATCCATGCTTGTTTATTTAATTTTCCATGACAGGCTTTTCCTGTAATTTTGCACAAATAATTTTATCTCCTCCTACTTGAGTTTTATATTTTTTGAGAGACAAAGGTTTTATATCTGGGAGGAAAACCTAAAACCTGATCCAAACCTCAGTTAACACAATTTAATAGTCTTCCATTGTTTGCAGTGGTCTTGAAACAAGCCCTGAATTAAACAATTACATTGTGTAGTACTGTTTTTTCTTATGTCACTTGTGAAATCAGCAGATTGTTGGTTCCAATTTACCAACTGCTGGATTCATCCTTTCTTTTTATACTTTCATCTGTTGCTCTGTCAGTGCAAGTACCAACCAGTATGTAAAACACCCTAGGAAGATTCCTTGACCTGAAACTAATCTCAAATGTTTGATGCAAATGAGGAAGTACATATTTGTGCTCTTCCTAATGCAGTGGAGTAACTCCTATTATGCTGCTTCAGCAGCAGTAAAATCACAAACTAAAGGCATGTTTTTATCTGTGTTTTGGATTTGCATACTCTGCCATCAGCACTGGTGGTCCAGGAAAGGGACAAAGCCTTGCCCCCCGCCCCATTCCCAGACACTATTCTTTGTCTCTGTGCCACCTTGGGTTTTTATGGCACAGGCTTCTCATAGAGCTGATCTGGGCAACAGTCTGAGGACAGCTGGGCTGCTTCTCAAAGTGGCCAGGCCATTTTATGGCTGCATAATGTGTTTTTGAAAATGCTTGTTTAGTAACTTGTAGTGTGTGTTTTAACAAGACACAGAACATCATCCAGCCTTCCTTTTTAGCTTCTGGGACACTGGTTTGATGTAGAACACTACTGTGTTTATTACACCTCTGTGAATTGTCAAGGAGAGTAGCTTGAAAAGTCACGGAGCAAGCTGAATTTCATTGCACAGCAGATTCCCTGTCTGAATCTGCTTCAGAGTAAAATCTCCAATTTCTATTTTGAAATCTCTGAAATGGCTTTCAGGGGAAAAAAATAGACAATAGACAATCTGGATTTATTTCCTTTCTGTCTAACCACATGTCCTTTCCAGTCCTTTTTGAGGTAGGAGGGAGATGGAGAAAGAAACTTCACAATGAGTTGAATGTCAAGTAGTGTTTTATTTTGAAAAACTAACTAAAATCTATTGCTTAAAGTAGCCAGGGTTTGTAGGTAGAGGCATTATCTTTCATTAAACTAGATAATAAAACTGGGAAATGATGGGAAAGCTTTTAGACACAAACATATTTCAGATCTGAAGAAGTTGCAGTGTGACTGGAAACCTGCCCTTAGCTCACACCACACACAGCAGAACATGCACCTAATTAATTGCACAGTAAAGAGGAAATCTTGAATTGTATCTTTGATGGATCCTGAATTTTGGTTGTGTGGCTGATGGGCTTTAAGTTACAAGCTGAGGCAAGACTACCTTAATTGACTTTGAAGTACTTACATCAGGAAATATTTAGGAGGGCAAATCTTGACTTTCTTTTAGTGCCCTTCAGGGGTATGACCCTGACTCTTTTTGTCACAAGGACTAATTCCTAGCTGCTCAAGAGCACACCTAGTTTTAAAAAGCACTTAGTGAAGAACTGCTGTTACTTTGCTCCTTATTATAAGAAAGGATGTGGAAGAAATGGTGATTTTTAAGCTCTCCTGAAGTTGTTAGTATAAGCTTATGAATGGATCTTTATTACTGGAAACCAAACATGGGTATTGATAGAGTTGTAGATGGGCTAACAAGTTTTGTTGAGGGTTAGAGAATCTTATTTGGCCTACTGTGAGTATCCTTGATGGTTTAAGCTCAAATTGCATCTAATGATGGCTTATGAAACACAACATTTAATTCAAATGCTTCAAGCAAATTAACAAATGCATTAAAAAATTATAAAGTTCATAAAGGAGCCCTGATACTATCCTTTTTTTTTTGGTCCCCTTCTCTCCTGGCTCAGCTACATTTCAGGCTGAAATTGCCTTGTTTATGTGAATCCAGATATCTCCACCACTGCACTCTGTATTCTGTGCAAGCCATAACCAAGAGTGTGAAAGTACTCTGTGACTTAATTTATAGCTCTGATATAAAAAATCCCAAACCTTTATCCCGTATATATCCCTGCATTCCTTTATCTCACCATGTTACTTTCTGAAATGTAAACATCTTATCAAAAGCTGTTTTCTTAAAAATTTTCTATTCTTACATGGTTCATCTGAATACATTTGCATCTATACTAATTGTCTTTATATTTTGAAGTACATTCTTGTAATTGCATTTTTTAATCAACATCTTCTTAGACTTATAATAATTTCATCTACAATATATAACTAGTAATTTGGAATTCAGTTTTCCTATCAAGTAATCATTTTTTCATAAAGCTCTATAAGCTATCTTTGATAACACAGTATAAGGTAAATTATTACATCATACTAAAGTAAAATATTTTTAACACTTTAATCGAAATCAGTGCAATCAGAGTTAGAAACAGCAAATGTGATCTGGTGGTGTGGGAGGTATCCTTGGAGGCTTTGCTCCCCTGGCTAAAAGGAAGCAAAGATTTCTGAATTTGCTTGGATCTTTCACTAAGTAACTGGGAAAACCAGCATGCAAGGCACCATATTCTCTCATTGGCATGTAAGTATAATTTCTAAAATTCATTATTGTCACAAATATCATCATGTGTAAATGCAGAAACTGTAGTAACTGTGTCTATATCAGTACTGAGGGCTCTCCCAACCACCATGAAATTCCAGATTGCAGTCTGTGTAGCCAGATCAACTGGACTTACTGAAAATTAGAATGCCTCTATGGATGATGCATGGTTTCGATTAGGTGACTGTGTATGTCTGTAGTTAGTCTCAACATAAGCAAATTTTTAAAACATTCACGTTGCCAACACAGTAACCCTTTTGTTCACTGTTGTTTTTTCTTTTCCCCCTTCAAGAAATACATACTTATATGCCCTGAATTTATCCTAAAGCAGGTGTGGTTTATAAACGAACTGCAGAAGTGAACATTTTTCAGAGAGGTAGCAGACAGGCATTTGGCTGTATGCAGATGTGCATTTCTTCATTTGCAGGTGGCTTACCAAAAAGGGACTGAAATTTTCATAATTCTCCTGTCACAATTTCAAATGTCTTTTTTTCCTTCTGAAAGGCAAAAGTTTACATGATTGCAGCAGGGGTCATAGCAGGTGTGTATCTTCTTGGAACTGTCGTTCTTTTTCTTGGAGTAAAGGAAAGGGATGGTAAGTTATATTTAAATATGCTTCTATTTAATAATAGTTATTTCACATTCCTTTGTTGAAAAAATTTTTATTTTATGTATCCTGCTTCTCTTAGATCCTTATGCCTTAAATTCAGACAGAGCAATTCCTTTTTGTAAGGGGCTTGCACTTACCATGAAGCATGGTCCATATGTGAAGCTTACAGCTTCATTTCTTCTCATCTCGACAGCAGTTCAGGTAACTTCAGACCCTCTCAGTCTGTGTGTTGGCCTCATTCCACTCCCAGCATGGGAGAGTCTGAAATGCAAATAACCTTTGACTGGTGACTGGAGGGGTGATCTAGGGGGTGTTGCCTTCCCCTGTAAATCAGTAGGGAGCCAGAGTCCTCTTTTGGTGCCTGGGGTCCTGTGTGGCTGGAGATGGTTCATACAAAGGAGAAGCAAAGCCAAAGTCCTAACCATTTAAGGACTTTTTTCTTTTCTTTTTCTTTCTTTTCTTTTCTTTTTCTTTTTTATTTTTCATAAAAGGTGAAGAACTAGTCCTAGTGACCCAGTCTGGGTCATTCTGTGTTATCCATCCACAGTCTCCTGTGGTTTCGGCTGCTTAGAGAATGCTTTTTCTCTTCTGTCTGTTCCTGTCTCTGTGTGCCCTGTTTAAACTGTTGCCTCTTTCCTTTGCATAGGTGACAGCTCTCAGATAGTGGCTGAACTGGGTCTTGTGGAGTCTTTTGTGATGGAAGGCATTAGGTCAGAGTGAGAAGACATTCAGAAGCAGGAGGTCTCACCTGTGTCAGAGTTAGGTAGAGCTCATTTTGAAATGAAGACCTGCAATTGGATGTGGCTCTCACAAAAAGATGCAGTGTATCCTCCCATAGAGAGGAGCTGTAGAAAAACCATTCAGTAAGAAACCCTCAATCCCCATAAGTACAGCAGGCTTTTTAAGTCTGACTTTTAAGATGTGTTCAATTCAGTAAATATATTATTTTACTCTGAACTTGTACATATCAGTTGAAGTTTGCTTTATTTTGAAAAGCAAATAATTATCACATTTTTCCAAGAGACTCTTAGTCATGTGAACCATTGATCAAGGGAGTATCAGGAGAGAAGGCAAGAATATGACATGTAAGAGAGCAGTGCTGTGCTCACCAGCAGTCCTGGTGAATTATAAAGTTCCTTAGAAGGGCTACTTAAAAGTTTGTTTGCCAAAGAAGCACTGAACTTTTTTGTTGGCCTGGATTTGGGCACAGCATCTGTTAGTCCTTGCTGAAATACCCAAGGGTGAGAAACAATAACAGAAGTTTTTTCTGCTCATGTCTGGGATCTGCAGGTACTGTGAGCAGCTGCAGAGACAGGGAGAAGATGAAAGGTCTCTTGTTGTCCACATCGTTCCAGCATCCACTCAGTCAGCAGGGATATAGAGCACATCTGGCTGCTGGCAGCCAGCTGCTTGCTGACAACACCCAGAGAGGAAAAGATCTTCTGTCAGTCCATATCTCTCTGTTTTGCTATTTGTGCAGGCTGAAGGGAAGGTGTGAGGGGAGGCAGAAGCTGGAAGCTTTGTTACTCCAGTTCAGCCAGCATGAGCAGCCCTTGCTGCTATTACTCAAGGGAGGGACACTGATTTTATGGCATTTAGAAAGTGGATTACTGATCAGCAAAAGGAATGTGCAGGTTAAAAAAACCAAACAAACAAACGAACGAACAAAACAAAAAAACAACAACAAAAAAAACCAACCCAAACCGACCAACCAACCAACCAAACAAAAAAACCCCTCCAGTTTCCTGAGATCCAACAGTAAAGATGCATTGGCCATAATTCCAGAGTGTGATATCCTATGACTAAAATTAGGGAAGCATAAACAGGGACACAAACTAGGGAAGGGTTTTGTGGTAATGGAGATAGGATACAACTTCTTGGGTATCCTAGTTTGTATACAGGTGATTGGCCACCTGTAATCTACAGGCTCACAAAGGAACAAGAATTGATCCTGCTGCTGTGGCTTGAGTCTTAAATCCTCCTCTGCCACTCTGCTTCTGCAGAATTGCTGGAGCTGGCCCTCCATCATATTCTAGTGTTCAGAATTCCCCTGAGTTCTGCAGAACCAGTGTGACAGAATGGCTTCACCTGTCATGTAACACTGTGCAGTTAGATCCTTCTATCTGATGAGGATTCAGGTGTAGGGAGGTATCTGACCCAAAGCTACACTCCATAGCTGAGGGTATACACAAAACCAGCTGCTTTACCACAGGAAGTTGGCAGGAGTATTATTACAGCTGAAATGTTGCTTGTTTTGGAGTTAGAGCTTCTGGAGAAAGATTTATGGCCTTGCTGGGGAAGAGAAAGGGCAGTTTCTTGCAGTAGCCTGCAGCTGTGACAACACAAGGCAGCTGGGACATAGGGAATAAAGCCTGGAGACAGAAACCTTTCACAGGGCCATTTCTGTTTTGGTCAATTTTGTGCTCTATTACGTGTGGCTTACCTCTTGCTTGCCCCAGTATTACTGGCATGTTATTCCAGTGATAACAGGACAGTTACTGCTTCTTTAAATTGTTGTAAACAAGGGAAGAATCAGACTCCCAAACCCTACATTTAACAAATCAGTCACCAACTACATTTAACTAATATGGAGCATGATGCAATTTTTGTCTCTTTTTAATTTTCCTTTGTCTTTTGGTGGTCACCAAATGTCTTAAATTCAACAGCTGGAGCAGGGGAACTTTGTCCTGTTCTGCACTCATGCTGCTGGCCTCCGCAATCACTTCCAGTATTTGGTGGTGACCATCTTGGTGAGTTGCACTTCTCTCCCATATGTTACCTGGTTCTCACTGGGCTTTGGCACAAAATTACAGAAGACAAGAAAAGTTTTGTGTCTCAGCAGAGCTGTTAGGAAGCTGCACTATCTTTTGCGTTGTCTATTTGAAATAAAGTTGGTGTTCCCTACTGCACTTCTAAAAAAATAGTGGTTTGGAGCTTTTAATTCATTCCTTGTTGTTTTTACCTGCAAGCCCCAGCTTCTATAAAAGGCAGAAGCTGCTTCTAGAAAGGAGGTCTGGAATTTTACCTCCTTTGTCCCTTTCCCCAATCTTGCTGAAAATTAAACAACTTCAATTTGCATATTCATACACACGACTCCTTGGGGAGAGGCAGCTTGCTAGGATAAATATTTTAAATACCCAGAAATACGATGATTCCTCTCTAGAGCAATTGACAGTGTGATAAAAAGATCCTTTTACAGAATATTTTGTCTTGACATGCAGAGGTAGAATTCTGCTTGTTTAGGTGATAATTAGCCTTTCCCACATCATAAGACATATTGTTTTCCAACACCATTAAAACCAAGATGCTGGAGAGCAGGAGAGGAGTGCTGGGTACCTTAAGGCTCTGCAGGTGATGGTTACCAAGAAGAGAGACAGTAGAGGTAAAATAAGTACAGACTGAAATATAACACTAACAATTAGGTGACATTTAAATAAAGGGGAAGTGTAAGGCTGCCATTAGTAGCAGTACTTCAGTGCATAGGTACTGCATTGCTTGTGGTTGTTGCTGCCATGGGTGAGTATTTCAGTGTCTGAAACAGTAATGTCCACTACAAGCAACTATTTCTCTTACAGATTGTTCCTAAGAAGGGACACACAGTATGGAATGTACTCTATCTTAGGGTAGATTTATCTTGCACTTCAACTTTCTTCCTGTACATGGGGTAGAGCTAAATTCACTCATCATTTGTCAAGTTCAGGCAGTTTGGCAAAAGGCATTAGCACAAAGTTTGACTGTTTGCAGTGTGTTTGAACTTTAATGACTGAGCACAGCTTTGACTGCTGTGGCTTGCATTAGAAAAGGAAATTTTAAGACACTATTTTCTAAGATTTGACTGTGGAAAACCATCTGATGGATAGCTTAACAATCAATTTTAAAAAGTCACTCAAAGGATGAGGAGAAGCAAGAATCTGCATATTCACCTTCCTTCCAGGCTTTTATGTACTAGACAAAAAGATGTCTGTGAGCTCCAGAGCTGGAGGAGACAGTGGAAGTAAGCACAGTACATACATGGGTTTTTGTGCTTTGTAGGTATCAGCAGTCGTGAGCGTTCCCTTCTGGCAGAAGTTTCTGCAGAGATTTGGCAAGAAGTGTGCAGCATGTGGGATTTCGGTAAGCAAATCCTCTGAGAAAAAAAATTCTGCTTGTGCTCATTTATTTGACAACTGGAGCCACTTCAGGAGCTCTTTCAAGTGCTTGTAACCTCAATCTATGTGAAATTTGCTCAGTTCCAGAGTTTGTTTTAAATCATTATACCAAATTTCAGACAGATTCCAAGTTTCCAAGGGAAAATTTTGAGAAATGGATTGATGCTGGAGGGAGGTTCCAGTTTATTTAAGATTCTGCACAAGTTCTTCTCATTTGAAGCTCTCAGAACTGAGCTTCAATGAGCTTTTATAAATTCAGATCTGAGTTGCCTCATGTTGACAAGTTATCTGTTGTGCAAGGCTTGTTTTGTCTTTGTTATATGGTGCTGAGGTGTCAGCATTGGTAATTCAGTCCCATGGAAGGAAACAAAAGTCTGTTACACCTCCTCCAGGAGCATCCACATCCCTCTGAATAGGAAGGGAGAGTTATTAGTGAAGTGAAGAAAAAGGTGACCTACCTGATAAAAGAAACCTAGTTTAGCTCTGACACAGCTTTGCAAAGCCAGCTCAGTGAGCCTGCCCTTGTCACTGATGGATTATTTTAAGTCCCTTACTTAGTGCAGACAGCAGCAATTTTCTGTCATCATCCTCGGTGAGTTATTGTACAGGCCTGTTCCTCCCCATTTTCCCCCTGTTTACCTTCAATTACTTATGAAAGAGGAAAGAAAAATTGCCTTGTGCACAACAAAGCAGGAGGACTTGAAAAATCCAGCCCAAAGCTATATGTCAAAATCTGAACAAAGCTGAAAAATTTAGGTCTGGTGACAGTTACTGAATAGAGTTGAACAGTTATAATTTTTGGAATTAAAAGCTGTGTTGTAATGACTTCCAGAGAATCAGAAGTAACTTTAAAACCCAAGTTCCAAATATGCTGAATTGTTATGTGTTTTGAAGTAGGCATCTGGAATTCAAGTCCCATCCTTATTTCTTTTTACCACTTGAGCAAAGAGAATTGCCAAAAGCAGTATTGGCCCATTGACTAGACCTGGGAATGCAGATTTCCTCCTTAGGAAATCTCTGTCTGCTTGGCCACAAACAATGTTTTCTTCAACCAACTTGGCTCTATAAATTTAGTTTTACATGACTGGAAAAGCTGTCAGCACCTCTGTAAACATGGTTTAACTTAATTTTACAGTTGAGTTGTTTGACTGTTATGGTCTAAGTGGGGGATGGATTGAAAAAAAGCCACCTCTCTGTTTCACCTTGTAGACATTTCTCAGGAGACTCAGTGTGTGCTCAGTGATGGATTTTGTGTCTGACAATGCATCACAGGATCTTCCTACCCTACCACCTTGTGTGATCTGTACAACTAATCTGCACTCTCCCACTGTGAAATAAAAGCACGTCATTTAAGGCTCCTAAGTTTGTCATTGGGGAATGTTCTACTGGAAGGGAAGGAGACAGGGAAGAAAACACTTTTTTTCCCTCTAAAACCTCACTCACCTTTCAGGGTGAACATGTGATTAGAAATTCAGTTTCCTGAGAAAAGAAGTCACAGTGCTTCAGACTAATTTTTTTCTGTTAAGGTGATTCTGTGTTGAAGAGAGCCCTCAAAGAGTTTAGAAGTCGGTAGATAAACAAGAATCTTGGGTTTCTTCCACTGATATTTCTCCCTTTTTGCCTATTCCTCCAAAAGAGATGACCAACAAATCTAACTACTGATTAAGTATCTCAAGTTCCTAAAAGTTTAAAGCCTAGAATTTTTGGAATTATCAGGAATTATTCTTCTCCCAAGCAGGATCCTTGATAGGTTGGTGCACAGGCTAGAAATTATTCTCCTCTGTTTATTTCCTTCAGCTTCCACGTGCTGTGTTCATTTAGGTGTCTGCTCTGCCCTCACGGGGCAAGCACTGAATTTACACTCAGTAAGTCTCAGCTGGTTGCTGGAGGTGAAATTGTCATGAGAAATTTTAAGAAGTGCAGCATCTTCTTGGTTCATAGTTTTGGCGAGGTCTCTAAAAACAAAGATGGCTCTCTCCCACAACTCTAGCTTCCATCCTAGCCAATAATAGCTTTTGGCTGTGGGTTTTGCAGGATTTAGTAAAAATAAGAGCACCTCCTCACAGATATGCAATTATTTATTTGCCATCTGTGAGCACGGTGCAGCATGGAGAGATGCCTTTGGATGAGTCCTGGCTCTGCAGCCCTTTTCCCACTCTCCCATCCTGTTTCCACTCACATCCTCCCTGCACCTTTTCCTGATTTGCCCTTCACAATGTGCTGCTGCAGAGACCAGTTCCACCTTCAGCATCCCAGCAGGGTCACCTTCCACAGGGCTGTCAGGGAATGGAAGGCATGGGATAACTGGAGGACGCTGTTTATAACTCAGAGGGCAGCAGCCCTGTGACAACAGAGCAGATGCCAATAACAGAGTATTTGCTTTACAAGTGAGAAAGAAGGAGCTGCATTAGCTGTTTATTGCAGTGGGAGCACTGCCCTCATGACTGTGCTGCCAGTGCATGGGCAAGAATTTAGGGCATTGTAACCTCAGTCCTGCTGGCCCTGCTTCTCTTTCTCTAGGAAATTACAGTCACAATGGTTATTATTATCGATCTAGAATTTTGTTTAAGTGCTTTGGTTTCTGAGTGGGTGCCCCGTGTGGAGCACAAGGCAGTCATAAAATTGCTTATAGACAACATAAAATCTGATATTGCTGGAGTGCTCTCTTGTGGTGAAATAACGATTTTGCCACAACACTGGGCTAATGCAAGGATTATCTGCCTGTGCTGGGAACTTGCAGTCAGGAAAGGTTATTTTCTGCCTCCTTAGCTTGGGAGCAAATGCTTTAGATAGGAAATGCATTTAAAACATAAACATAATGGATTAGACTGCAGGACTCCCAGAATCACTTATCATACAGAACTGTAAATAGCAGTGCTTAGGGGAATCACTCTCTGTGAAAGCTCTTCTCATACCCTCAGCTCCCAAGCTGCACGTATAGAGGATTGAAACACTTAATGTTAAACTAATCCCCCATCATTAAAAAGCCCTGAAGATAAGCCCCTGGTTCTGGATTCTACATGTGCTGCTGTGCCTGTGGTTCACTGGCGTGGGAGATGGAGCATGTGACGGGTATAGGACAGCTGGGCAGTAGGCATTCAATCAGCATTTTAAAAAGTGGATTTTCAGTCCTGTAAGCCCATTGCTTCAAGCTGAAGTTGAAGAAATCTAGTGGCTATGACTACTGTCAGAAAACAAATCCCAAAAGTGTGTTACACCCCCCTGTCTGTTACATCAAATTAATTTGGTTTTGAGGGTAACCTCTGTGACTTGTCATGCGATGTCATGAGTGGATCCAGCTGGGGGGAGTGGAGTAAACCGCTCTGACTTTTGGGTTTTGTTATTGCTGAGTATGTATATGGTTTTAAAGTGGTGATCGGAAATGAAAGCAAATTCTTCTTCACTCAAGACTGAAGGTGATCCATGAAATGGGATATTTACAGTTTAAAATGACCACTGAAGCACTGCCATTCCCCTTGGAATGAAGTGTGAGAATGTTTTAAGGCATTGTCTCTAATAGTAAATTAAATAATTCCCCTAGAATAGAAATGGGCATTTGGTCATCTCTGTTATTTAACTGGCAGAAAAATCTTTGCCCAAGCTGATTAGCAATCTCCTGAGAATTATGAGTGTTCATGGATAAAGGAAGAACAACTGACAGTGTCTAGCTGGACTTGTGCAAAGCATTTGATACTGTCCTGCACAACATCCTTGTCTGTAAGGCATGGATTCGGTGCATGGATCACTCAGTGGGTCAGGAATTGGCTGGATGGTGGCACCCAAAGGGTTGTGGCCAATGGCTCAATGTCCAGGTGGGGACAGTGAGGAGTGTCATCCCCAGGGGTCTGTACTGGGACCCTGTTCCACATCCTTGTCAGTGACAGGGAGAGAGGGACTGAGGCACCCTGAGCAGGTTTGCTGGTGACACTGAGCTGTGTGGTGCAGGTGACAGCTGGAGGGAAGGGATGCCATCCTCAGGGGCCTGGAGATGTGGGACTGTGGGAACCTCATGAAGTTCAGTAGGGCCAAGCACAAACCCTGCACCTGGGTCAGCACAAAAACACTCTGGGCAGTGAATGGAGTGAGAGCAGCCCTGAGGAGAAGGATTTGGGGGTGTTGGTTGACAAGATGCTTGAGATGACCCAGCAACGTGCACTTGCAGCCTACAAAACCAAACACTTCAAAAACAGTGTGGGCAGCAGCTGAGGGAGGGGATTCTGCCCCTCTGCTCCAAATGAGACCTCTCCTGCCATGCTGCATCCAGCTCTGGGACCCACAGCCTCAGAAGGTTGTGGATCTGCTGGAGTGAGTCCAAAGGAGGAACACAAAAATGATCAGAGGTTTAGAGCACCTCTCCTATGAATACAGGCTGAGAGAGCTAGGGTTGTTTAGCCTGGAGAAAAGAAGACTCTGGAAAGACCTTAGAGACCCTTCCAGTGCCTAAAGCACCTTCAAGAGAGCTGGAGAGGGACTTCCTGCAGGGGCATGGAGTGATAGGACAAAGGGGAATGGCTTTAACCTGACAGAGGGTAGATTTAGATTGGATACTAGGAAGAAATTCTTTACTGTGAGGGTGGAGAGAACGTGGCACAAGTTGCCCAGAGGAGATGTGGGTGCCCCATCCCTGGAAGTGTTCAAGGTCAGGTCTTGAACACTTGGATGGGGCTTGGAGCAACCTGGTCTAGTGGAAGGTGTCCCTGCCCATGGCAGGGGGGCTGGAACAAGATAATCTTTAAAGGTTCCATCCAACCAAACCATTCTGTTATTCTATCTAGCACAGTTTGGGAATCAACCATTTTCAGTCTTCACAAAATGTATTTATATGGCCATAGGTCTTTTGGAGACCATAAATATTTAGGACTATGAATGTGGCCAGGGTCTATGAGTTGTCTTCAAGACTGGTAAATAGGCTCTTGGGTTTGTTTAATTTACTAGTTCAGTTGTAGCCCTAATAGTGCTAACAGAGACAACACTACTATCACTTGCCCTACTTTTCTCCAATTATTCTGGATAGTTAAGTACAGATTGGCTCAGGGCTTTTTGGAAATGCAATTTGACCAAAATACTGAAGTGTGAGACATTGCTGTGTGTGAACTGTTCTGTAACATAGTTTTGTATTTTGAAAGGAACAATCTGTACAGAATTGAGCAGTGCATGCTGTAATTTAGATATAATGCTTTTCTTCTTCAGTGGATGATTCCTTTTGCAGTCATGCTAGTGACCATTCCAAACCTGATCCTGGCTTACTTCGTGGCCTTCGTCTCTGGTCTGAGCATTGCAGCATCTCTTCTGTTGCCATGGTAGGAGAATTTTACATTTGACGTGGGGAATTAATGTATTTCTGCACTACATGTATGTACTACTGCATGGAATTTGCCTCTGAAAGAGGCAGAATATGGCAAGAATCTCTTCTTCCAAGAACCTTTTTTTGGTTTTATAGTGGATGCTGTTTGCAATGATGTGACCTTGGTTGCCCAAGGTTAACAGATTACATCTACTATAACTGTAGCCACTTTTTGTACATGAGAGTATTTAAATTAATCCATAATCTAAGTAGCTACACGATGTGTGATAACATTGCTTCAGGAATTATGAAGGTAGGCAAATGAATTAGTGCTGAGCAATTAAGAATGTAGCAGAGGACACATAAGGCAAACTATGTCTAACCTTACTTTTTATAAGAGCATGTAGTTATAGAACAAGGGGTAATGAATGGCTTTAAACTGAAGGATGATAGATTTAGATTAGATTTTAGAAATAATTTCTTTACTGTGAGGGTGTGAGGCCCTGGCACAGGTTGCCCAGAGAAGCTGTGGATCCATCCCTGGAAGTGTCCAAGGCCAGGTCGGATGAGGCTTGGAGCAACCTGGGCTAGTGGAAGGTATCTCTGCTCATGGCAGAGGACTAGAATGAGATGATTTTTAAAGTTCCTGCCAACCCAAACCACTTCATGATTCTGTGTATCCCTGTTCGACTAGTCCTCTGTTATAGACCAAATACACAAAATTATAGTTAAAAGAAACTAAGAATTCAAGGTCTTTTGCACCTGAGGACTGAAAATAAGTGGGGAAAAACAACTCGAGGATGAGCGTGGTAGGACATTTCCTCTTCAGATTAAATAATTGTTATTGAGATCACATTAACCAGAAATCAAGACCATTGCTGAGAGCACTGTTTTTCAGAACTTGTTTGTACAATGCCCTAAAAACTCCAGGAGATCATAGAGTACATAATTTGAAATTAGTTGTCAGACTATGTAAGCTTTTCTGCACAGAGGGTGAGAAGACTTTTCTTTTTTGAACAGTAAATGATTACATATGTTGGAAATAAATGTCAATTCACAATTAACATTTGAGCAGCTTCCATTCTAATTCCCCATTACCTAATTCAGTCTCTTTGAAATAGAGAGAGAATAGGTTTCATTGGTTTCAGAAAATGTTGTTGCCTTGTCAAAAGAGTAATTTCAGAGTGCAACTATTCAGACATTCAGAATGCCTTGAAATCTTATGAAACGTGGGGGGTTTTTGCTGTTCTTTTTTTTAATGTCACAACTTCTGTTTGGAATGATAGGCAGACTAGGAAATTCTGTCACCTCTCAAGTGTTTGATGGCTTTTCAGTGATTTTCTACATTGTAATATATGGCCATGCTTTTCTTACACACTTGTTGCCCTTCTTTCCAGGAGTAGAACCTTTTGAACTGGATTCTTTCATGTGTATGGCTACATCAATCACCTTAAAAATGGAGGAGGGCTGTGCTCTACTTCATTAAGTTTGGACTTTGAAAAGAAATGTTGGCTTGAGTTTTTCTTTTATCTTGCTCACTTCTAGGTCAATGCTGCCTGATGTTGTTGATAACTTTCGCCTGCAGAATCCCCATGGGAAAGGACATGAAACCATTTTCTATTCTTCTTATGTTTTTTTTACCAAGATGTCAGCAGGAATTGGCTTAGGAATTTCTGCAGCAGGACTGGAGTAAGTAACACTGTGTTTCCACTTAGTGGATCTACTCTGAAAGCATTCTGAGGTTACAACACTTTTAGCCTGTGGAGTTAATTGCCTTCGTGCCCTGAGCCTGAAAGTGCCAGCAGCTCCAGATGGCTGACCACTAAAGACAGGATTGGTGCCATCTAGGCCAGACAACCAAGCATTAAGTTACTTGTCCTGACATGGTTCTGTTCAGAAAAAACTGACTTCCCTTTTGATTTTCCTCTTTTCAATTACTCATGCAAATTTTAGTGGCTTATATGAATAAAGAACTAAACATGAAAGTGCAGCAGATGAAGGTCCTCCACAGGTGACACAGGTGCTTTGTGCATTCCGTGTAGCACCTGGACTATCTCTATGAGCTTGTAGGACTTTACATGGATTTGAGGGCTTTCAGAGGCCTGTTCAGCATGGTTTTAGGGAACTGGATGCTGATCAGAGTCAGGAGCAGCCTTTCTCACAGCTCTGCCTGTCACCCAGACTGTGTCACTTTAGGAGAGAGTCTGTGGTCTCTTTCCACTTTGTCATGTCTGTTCTGACCAGACAGATTGAGAAAGTGGCCAGGCATCTCCTGCCCTGCCTTGGTGCAAGACCTGGCAGAAAGGGCCTGTGCTGTCCCTGCTACAGGACACAATAAACACTTAGAAGGGAAATCCAGCCCTCGGCTCCAGAGTAGGTTTTGGTAACCAGAATGTTTTGCTTTGGGGCCTTAAGCTGAAATTGCTAAATAACAGGCAATGCTTGGCTGAACATTTTGGGCTTAGGAATTTTAGCTGCTTATTGCTAAAACCCTCAAACAATTCACTGTTCCCCAATTAGCCCTTTCTCAATTGCATTCCAGTTGGGTCCCAGCAATTTGCCAAGGCAGATGTTTGTGGGAGAACACAGAAGACAGAGTGATGCCAAATGAGCTGTAGCTTTCATTAGGTGGATGTTCAGAGGAAAAACTCATTCCACAAATTGGGAATAAGAATTTAAGTATATCAGCAGTTGTGGGACTGCATGGAAGCCCCGAATCAATGAAGTGTAAGTGTGTACCTAACTCTGAGCACTTGAGTAAATTTGTCTATCTTGAGACGAGTGCTTAAGTGCGTGTTTAAATTAAAGTTAATTATTGCTGTTGAAATTGGTCAAATTACTTGCATGCTTTTAAAGCAGAGCTTGAATACTTTGCTGAATATTAATAGGAAACACATAACAGATTAATTTCACAGAACCACAGAATCACAGAATGGGTAGGGCTGGCAGGGACCATAGTGGCTCATCTGGTTCCAACTTTCCTTGCTCAAGCAGGGTCATCCCAGAGCACAGAGCACAGGATTGTGTCCAGATGGTTCTGGAATATCTCCAGTGAGGGAGACTCCACAGCCTCTCTGGGCAATCTGTTCAGTGCTCATCACTGCACAGGAAAGAAGTTCTGCCTCATGTCCAGGTGGAACTTGCTGGGCACCAGTTTATTTCCTTACATGGGATTTCACAATCCTTTCTTTAAAAGTATGCAAGTAATTTGACCAATTTCAACAGGAATAATTAATTTTATGTGTAACAAAAAAATACAGAGGTAATACAGTTATCTGAAGTCGAGCACAAAAATGACATTTGAAAAACACAGTTTGAAATGTAGTGGGGAGAAGGAAAAAAGAGAGGTATAGGGAAAATGGGAGAAAAGCCTTGAAAAATTGGAGTGGGGGAAGAAAGAAGCTTTCAGGTGAACAGCCTTTTAGCTTTGGACATGCACACACCACTTGTTTCTGTTTGTTTAGGTTTACTGGCTACAAGCCAGGGATATGCAGACAGTCAGATGATGTGATCCTCACACTGAAACTCCTCATTGGAGCAGTCCCTGCCATCCTCATCCTTTTGGGTTTGTTTATACTCCTTTTCTACCCAATCACTGAAGAAAGTCGGAAAGAAACAAAGCTTGCCCTTGAGGAGTTAAGGTAAGTTTGGACTGGCAGTAAAGCAGCAGCAACACCCCCACAGCAGCTCTTAATCATACTGGGAAAATTATTATTGTAAGGAATCCCTATATTCCTTACAACAACATGAAACAACGTGCTCTTAGTGAAATTATTAACGGAATGGTACCATGACATGTTCCAGAATTTCTTTTTTTAGTGCAATACAACCTGCTTAGAGGACTATTTATCAGAAATTTCAGTTGCTCTATTTTACTTTTTCTCTGGAGTGGCTCACAAAGCACTATTGTGGTACATTGTCTCAGGCTAGAAATGAGGAATATTCTACATAGATTAAATTTGTGGAGGAAATGTGAATAGTTACAATTTACTTTTATATAGAAGAAAATTGTATTGTTGACTGCATTCTTGGTGTTTACAGCATACAACAAACATCCAAACCATTTAGAAGTGTAGGCAGAAAAGATTGTGGGAGAAAAAAAGAGGTCAGCTTTGAGCTGTTCTTTCCCTTTTTACTCTATCACTCTCCCTCCCTTTTTCTTTTTCCCCAAGGAAAATCTTGTTTAGCTCAAATTCATCTACGTCTGTCAGCTCTTGAGGATATACATAAGGACAGTCCTAGCAGGGTGATGGATAAAATACCAAAAAAATAGGTTGTTCCTTTGTCTTGATTTTATTATCCCAATTTACTGGAATTGGAAACTGATTTCTATGTTAAAGGGTCAATTCCAGGACCTAAACATGGGTGTCTGGGACCAATTCATGCCCTAAAATATCCAAGGTATGTGCATGGGGTTGTCAGATATGACACAGGCCTCTGTGCAGACTGGAGGGGATGGGGTAAACAATCTGAAATGGGACTGGTCCCTCTGTTCAGGAGCTTCAGTCATTGTCCAGAACAACCAGACCCTGCTGGGGGCTCTCAGCTGTTTGAGATTGCCAAACTCGGCTTGAGTAGTGAAAGCCACAAGTGTGTTCATGTATCATTTGTTCTGCTTTTACCAGGAGGAGCCATCAAAGCACAGAGAACTTGGACAGCCACAAAAAGGACACCTCTGTCTGAAAGCTCTGAACGCAATGGCTTTCCAAATACAGACTCACATCCCACCAACAAACTCTGTGAGAGTTTTCCAGGTCATTTCTCTGCTCACATTTTGTCAAAAAGGACAAAGGATGATTCTGACATAGCCAGTAATGAAATTGAGAGGGGACATCATTGTGCAAACATACACCTAACTCCATGCACTGTGCTAAAAAAGACATTACACATGTTCAGAAATGCAAGCCATTGAAGGCTTGGGGCTTTTTTTGTTTGTTTTTCAGTGATTAATGGGAAGCTGTGATCTTGTTCATGGGAGATTTTATGCATTTGTAGCTCAAGGGGAAAAAAACCAGTGTAAATGTGACTAGAGAATTTTTGAAGGTTCTGGTATTGGAAAATACTCACAAGGGTTATTGAGTTCAATCCACGATGCACCATCCAAATATTAACTCACAATATACTTCACCCTTGGAGGCTGGGGTGGATTTTGAGCACAATCTCTACCTATAACTTGCACGTTATTGTATTTGGAAAGCACTTGGGAACCTGTGCTGAAGTATACTATATAAATCTAGGATTTATTTTGCTTTGAAATGAAGCAAATCACTGATGCAAAAATATTTTGAGGATTTTTTTTTTTCATTTTTTTGAAAGAGATTTTGAGGCAATCTAAGTTCATAGATTCTGTAAGAAATAGAACGCTGCATTTCCCATTACTGATGTTTCTTGCTTCTGAACCCTGTAAACTGATATCTGTCAGAGAATGAGAACTTAACATTTTCATAATCAACGTCTCCTATGAAGATATGAAAAATCAGTTGTCCCTTCCAAAAATTATGTAATTCAAATTTCTTTAAATTTTGGCCTTTAAGTAATCACCATGTCCATTTCTCACATGGTGTAAGCTCTCTACCTCACAAAACACCACAGCACAGATATTAATCTTAGCTTGCACCTATTTTGTAATAATGAGGCCACACCTGCCTTTTAAATGGTGAATTTTTTCAGTCGGGGATGTTGTTGTGCTTTAGATACATCAACTGGAACCTCATTTCTACTGTAGATTTACACTGTTGAGCACACTTTTCAAATGAAATACACATTTAACCTCAGGCACCTGATGGAGCATTGAAGTTCAGACCTGTTCATTCCTGGCTTCTGTGGTCAGTGCAGGTACAGAGACCTCCAGAGAGTGGCTCCATGCCTAAGCTAAAATGACTGGACTCTGAAGATGTGTCTAAACCTGGCAGGGAGAGTGAGGAATTCAAGAGGTTTGTTCACCTTGCAGAAATTAGCACAATGCAAGACCAGACATGAATTTCATCCCCCTGCCTTCCCTGTGTGACTCTGAGAGTGCCTTTTGCTGTCCCAGAAGTGCCTTTGGAGGATGGGCTCGCTGCCCTCCAGGAGCACCTGGAGGAAGTTCAGGGCCACCTGTAATTTGCTCAGGGCCACCTGGGAAGTGGCTCACAGTGCTGGGACTGGAAATTGGGAAAGATTTTGCTGAAGGACACTGGGATGTCAAATCAGTGCAACCCCAGAATGTCTCATTGATACTGAAATTTTGTCAGGCAAGTTTGAAGTCAAAGGCCTTATGAACTGTCCTAATTCCTCAAAATGTTTAATCATGAGGGAGCTTCTAAGGAGATATATTGAGTGTGTGTGGGTAAGAGTTAACTGCATTTAAGATTTCTGTTGACTTGACATCTAAGGCTGGGGTGTTTTGTTTTCTTCCTTGTTTCAGTTTTTGGACAAACCAAGATATGTATGCCTGGGGCATATGTGTTTACAACAATAAAAACCATAAGCCTGTTTACAATTTTGAGTCTGATGGAATTTGAAATAGCAGATTTACTGCACTTTGAAGTAGGTAAGTTATGTAGCAATATCACACAGCTCCAAAACATCACAGCGAACAGTTTGGGGCATTCGATGTATTCTGTAATATTTGTATATTTTGGAATAGTCATGTTTAAAAATAACCAGAAGGCTCAGTAAAGGCTGTTAGTGTTTTTTAATGGGTTATGTTTTCAGCTACTATAAATCTGTAGCTACAAGGCAGTGGGTCCGTGTCAGTTTATATAAACTGAACACTTAGCCCAGTGATAAAAGGGTGCAGAAACTGCTGACTGGGGTTGAGTGGAACCATTTGAATGTGGCTTAAGATATTATTTCTAGATCAGTTCTGCAGTTGCCTCTAAAATTGCATAACATCCAGTCTGAATTCAGACTCTCGGAAGGTAAACTTGTTTGATTGTAAATTGTTTTCTTCTTCTCGAGAGAGACAATGTAATCTTTATCTTACTGAAATGTACTCAGTCCTCACTTTGCATTTGGTACCAGCAATGGGAACAGCCCAAAGAAAAGATAAATTTTCTGTAGATTAAGTGAAACAGACTATTTTTATATTTTGAAAATCTCATTATTTTATTTCCTTATCAGAAATACAATGTTGTAATTTTGTTGAGGAAATGGGTGTATTTTTGTAAATAAAGAGAATGGGGGATTAAGTGCAGGATAAGATTATTTTTGTAACTTTCTTTTTTAGGCCTCAATGTTGGTGCAGTAAAATGAGAGAGATTTATATGTCTCTTGTTAGTTTTAAATTATGTGTATGCCTTATGCATGTTCAGAACATGTGACTGAAAGAAGCGAATTCTTATGTTGACAAGCATTCAGATTAAATGCTAATCTAATGTAAACCTCTTGCCCTCCCACTGTAACAGGGGCCGGGTTTAATTCCTAGGGTTCTCCTTCAGGTAATATCCAAATACATTTTGGATTAAACCGGCTGGGTGCATAAGGGACAGTACTTCCCCACCTGCTCACAGGCAATTACAACAAATATGGGAAAAAAAGAGATGGATAACAGAGTTATGTGTCACTGGGTATTGCTCTGTAAACCAAACCATGTCCAATTCCTTGCCCATGTCCAATTCCTTGTCCTTGCTGAAGTGTAGTGAGGACAGCCCAAATCTTCCATACTGGGCTGGTTACTGGCAGTCAGTAGCTGAGCTGGTCACCAGTCATAGAATCATGGAATCACCACAGTTGGAAAAGACCTTTAAGATCACCAAATCTAACCATCAACCCAGTCTTCTCTTCCAGCTTCATTGCTTTTCCTGCCTAACAACAATGCTGACACCTCCCAAGGTTACCCCACCTCCCTGAGAGCTCCTCTGCTGATCAGGTATCCCCATATCCGAGCTGCTGCTCCCACAGGCACTGATGGAGGGGGTTGCTGTCACCACCAGCTGTGTCTCTGTGCTCCCCTCCTGCCTCGCTGTCCCCTGCCTGCCCCTGAGCTCGCTGACTGACCTTGGCTTAGCTGGATTAGATCCCTTCTGCCGAGTGCCCCCTTTGACAGGTGGACACCACCTTGGACATCTGTCCCTGGGGAGTCTCTGAAGGCTGGGACCTTCTGTGTCAGGTCACTGGCTTTTCAGGAAGGGCTCTGAAGATTTGAGTACTAATTCCTTAAGTCACTCCTGAACCTGAGAAGAATTGCTGCTTGATTCAATCCCTGCTGCAACCTCTCATCTTTATTCACCTTCAGCATTCCAAGCAAAATAGTTGAAGAGGAAAATGCTTTCAAGCAAACTGCTTTTGAGTCCAGAGTTTGTTTCCAAGGGTCACTTGCTCATTTACTTATCTGCTTGCCTTTCTGGGCTGTAGACAGAAAACACAGAATTAAATCAATCTTCTTGAGAGGTGGAGTTTCCACTAGGGAAGCTTGGGTCCTTTCAGACCTGGTTTTGTTATCCAGCTGTAAGATGAAGAAGAGAGGGCAAGTTAGCTCAAAGTCCCATCCAAAAGATGGAACTAAAGCAGTTTAGTGGTTAATCATATACATCATATTAATTTCATGTCATAGTTACGTAAAAACAGTGTCAATGTGTTACAATAGCCTTTCCCTTAAGAAATCTTCTAGACTGATAGGAAGCTCAGTTAGACTCATACAACAGGTGAGTGCAGGAAAGAATTTTGGTTTTGTGCAGTTTCACTGAATGTTTTTGTTTTTCTTTTTAAAACTATCTACAATTCCACAGTTCAGATACTCAGCAAGAGTGCTGAGTATTATGGTTACAAGAACGTGTATATGCTGTAGGCTTAGAGTATGAAATCAGATGGCTTTCACTTCACAAACACCAAACCTGCTGCACAAACGAGCAGCATTTGTCTGTCCCCGAGGCAGAGGAGGAAAATTTTTGCTATGCAGCACCTGAGAATTCACAGTCTCTGAAGACACAAACTGGCATGACACAGCTGAACAAAGAGAGGGCACTTTTAAGCTGTGGCACTTTTCAGAGGGGCTGGGTCCTCAGTACCACTTTAGAGACATTACAGAGTGGCAGCCTCCAACCCCAGCTGGAGAGCAGCAGAACTGCTCGATGGTAGGGAAATATGTGTTTGCTCTGGAAGTGTGGAAGCAGAAATAAACCTTATTTCCTGATCTATTTCTTACTCCAAATGATCTTAGATCAGCTACACCATTCAGATGTCTCACTTTTGCTGTGAGAACATTCTGTCCTCACTTTTGCTATGCTCTGCTGTAGACGGTGAGGAAAGATTGCTCAGGTCTCATGGAACTGATGATGGTCTTTTGCTCAGCTTCACTGATAAAGCTCCACTTTGGAGGCCCAGCACCCATCCCCTGCCAGCCTGTTTTTGCTGATGTACATGCAATCATCTACATTCAGCAAAGGATCAAAAGAATTTCCTTTGCACCTTAGTATTGTTCATCATGGAACTTCATCTGTTTTGCCTACAGGATGTTTTTGCCTGCCTAGGGCTTGTCACCGTGATGCTGTAGCAGGTTTACATTGGCTGAGAAGTTTCTGTTCAAACTGGCTGCAGCCCATGAGGACTTAACTTCCCTTGTGTTTCCAAAATAAACTTGCTTTTTAGTCACCTTCAAAGTCATGGAACAGAATCTGCACATTTCCACATCCAGCAGGTTCAGAATTCCCACTGCTGCTGCCCGTGTTGGACTGTGAGTCTCAGTGCACAGAAGTGCCTGCTGATATCAGTGTGGGATGAGGCAAAACTGCAGCCACCCCAGACTCCTGGAAAAGCCTCAGCTCGGCTGAGCTGGCCAAGTAGAGAGAATGGGCAACTCCAGAATTCCCAAAGGGACTTGTAGGCATGAAAGAAAAGCTGTAAGAGAAGAAAGTTCCTAAAAACCTTGCAGTCTTCTCTTAAGGATCCTTGGATTAGGCTTGGTACTTTTTTAACTATTTGGGCCTTCTTTTAACATTTAGCATTGGTGCAGATCATCCCAAAAGTTTAGAAATGGTGTTTTGATTTGCAGTCAAGCAGCCCTGAAAGGAAATACTTAGGTGTGTTGGTTGACAAGAAGCTCAACTTAAGCTGGCAATGTGTGCTCAGAGCCCAGAAAGCCAAATGTGCATCAATATGCTTTGTTGTACATGAGTGTGCCAAATGTGTCCTGGGCTGCATCAAAAGCAGTGTGGGCAGAAGGTGAGAGAGGAGTCCTGTGTGATCACACCTGGAGTCCTGTGCTCAGCTCTGGGGCCACGTTCAAGTGAGTCCAGGGGAGGCCATGAAGATGCTCTGAGGGCTGGAGCAGCTCTGCTGAGGAGACAGGCTGGGGTTGTTGAGTCTGAGAAGAATCAGGGGAGGCCTTAGAGCCCTGTCCAGTGCCTGCAAGAGAGCTGGAGAGGGACTTTTTACAAGAGCCTGTGGTAATAGACAAGGGGGAAATGGCTTTAAACTGAAAGAAAGTAGATTTAGTTTACACATTGGGAAGGAATTGTTTTCTGTGAGGGTGGTGACCCACTGGCACAAATTGTTCATAGGAACTGTGGATACTTCACCTCTGGAAGTGTTCAAGGCCAGGCTGGATGGGCTTGGAGCAACCTGGTCTAGTAAAACGTGTCCCTGCCCACAGCAAGGGTTGGAACTAGATGATCTTTAAGGTCCCTTCCAACCCACATTATTCCATGAAATAAGCAAGTCTCTTAACATAAGAATTTAATTCTTTCACGATTCCTAGGATTATATTTTAAATATAAATGCACATGCATGTGCACAGAGCTCACCATGAAGAACTAGTTTAATCTGACCAAACTATTAACAGCTTTTAGCACGTATCTTGCACTTGCTGTACCTGCTCCAGTTACCCCACACAGCACTGCCCTGTGCACAGGTAAATCCTTGATGCTCACCTGGGGAGCTGGAAGAACTCCAAAGGTCTGTTTAGTGCAACCTGAGACCAAGCACACTTCTGGTGGGAGACACTATCTTTTGTCAATCTAACACAAAGAGTAACAATTCCAAAATAAGCAGCTAATTTTTATACACTGTTTGGCTGCATAACAAAATTACAGAAGCAGCATTTGAGGCATGAGAAATTCAAGGTCAAGGTGTTCTGTGGAGCCAAGAGCATTCAGCCCTGACCCTCTCCTCTCGTTAGTGGGACACTGGAACCAGAAACAGGCATGAAAAAGGAGTGTCAGGCTGCTGAAGAAACATGGATCATCCCCAGCATCCAGCCTGCTTTGAACCCACACCCAGTGCTGAGGTTTCAGTGACTTTCAGGTGTATTCATGGTCCACCTTCTGATTAAACAGTGACCATTACTGAGGAGAGATGACTGTTATGTAAAGGATTGAGGCCACAACTGCCAAATTATCCCGTTCATCAAAAGCTGTAACTTGTAGTTTCACCACCCAACACTGAGTGCCCTCTGCAGCTTTTACTAGTGTTGTATCTTTAATATTGTGTATTTGTGGATAGATTTCTTTTGACAGTGGCTAAATTTCCAAACAGGCAATGAAAAAAGAAGAGATTATCTTAGTCCTGAGACAGCAGCTCCAATTCTATAATCTAGCTGCTTGATGCCTTCTCACACAGTAAGTGCCACTGTGAAAGCCTGATAAACTGCTTAATGTTATCGTGCTGTGATTTTATGGGGAGCAATCTTGGATTAGTCTTTTCTTCAGTGCTGCAATCCATGTTACATAAACTTGTGCTTACATAAACTTTTTCTAAATTTCCCCTTTGCATTTTCTCTCTCTCACTATAAAAGCCCACAGAACATTTTCCTCTGTCAGACTTTTAACTGGACGTTCTCATCACAAAAGATGAGACACGTGGCAACCACTTCCCCAAATCTACAGATGGAAGCAGAGAGGTGTTATGGGCAGGTACAGGAAGGGAAAAGGATCTTGCTTCCACACAATACGGATATTTCACATGATCCTACTTTGTCCCAAATCCCATGACTTTACACTGGTGCTTACACCAGTGCAAACCCAGGTGCACTTCTGCAGGCACAGCTCCTAAATAACACCAGTGTAATATTTCAGGCTTTGGCAGAAGAGAGGAAATGGGGGACAATGTAGCATTTTCAACAATTTCTTTATTATCCAAGTTCACTATTATCTAAAAACACCAATGTATTAAAGACCAAGATGGAAACTTGAGCTCAGAAACTTGTAAGAATGCACATTTTCAACCTCACCTGTACTGCAAGAGGCATAGTTAAAAAACACTGTTCAGTATAAAAAAAAGTTAATGTTTCCAAGGATCAAATAAATAATTTACAATGCAACAAAAAATTATAGAAATCATACAGAGATTTGAGACTGTTGTTGATAATTTGCAGTCCCATACAGTAAACATGAAAGCCTCCCATCGTCAGGCAGGCATTGCAAAACCACTGTCAAAAACTACATTTTATTGCTGGGCTGTTCTGAAGGGCTGATGCTGTCCAAGGTCTTGGAGGAGCAGTCCCTCAGGACTTCCAGAGAACTGGTGATATCCAGGCTTTCTGAAGAAGTGGATCTACACCCCTGTGTGGAACTGATGATGTCCAGAGTTTTGGAGGAATGGGAACTGTATCCTTTTGCAGTGGCATCTCTGATGAGGATCTCCTGTGTGGATGTAAACGTTAATGGGATGAAGCCCTCACTGTCTGCTGTGAGAACGATCCAAGAGGAACCTGTGAACACAAGCACATGGCTGTTGATAAGTTTTTGTGCAATTAGGGTGTGTTTAAGGTAAAAAACAAATTTCTTCTAGAATTAAATGCTTCTGTATATTTACAGCTTTCTAGAAAATAAAAAGTATGAAAAGATACAATCTCAAAAATAAAGGACACTTGGCTACTATGATGGATTTTGCCAATAGGAGATGAGAAAATAACAAAGGCATGCTTCAAATGAGGAGGAGGAATGAGATTGTGAACGTAATTTATAAGCATCCACACTTGGTTTTAATTAGGTATTGATAAGCCACTTCACAGTGCTAAAGCTGTGCAGATACTATAAAAAGCAGAGATTTAGTAAATTAAATGACAAATTAATGTAATAAAGACAATTTAGAAACTGCTTTTATTATGTTATTTCACTAGACTTAATTCCAGGAAATACAAGGAAGAAATACTTTACAATACTGTATAAACCCAACATCTCTGGTCAATTTGCTATTTGTCTTTGACACTAGCTTTTTTCTTTATAATTTGAATCTGAAACCCTGAGTTTTGCCACTACGGATAAGCCAGAAAATGTTTATATTTTTATCCATTAAGCTGATGAAGCAAGAAAATAGAGCTCATGAGGGGTAAGGGAATTCAGAGAAGCATTTCCAGCTGTTTGTAAGTTTACATTATGTAACTTTACGTCACAAGTAAGGTCACAAGAAGATTGTATCTTAATAGCACACAACCCTCTAATCTTTTGGCTTAATTTGGACCAAACTTGAAAATCAATACAACTCAGGATTTGAAAATACCATTCCTACTTTGCATCTGTATATTCCAAACAAACATTCCATCCACAATTCCTTAGGAAAACTAAAACTTGGACAATGGCAAGAACAGCAGCCTTAGGCTTTGGGATGGCTGTCCAGTGATCTGCAAGCAGGCAGAGAGCAGATACAGGGGGCAAGTGAATGGAATACAGCACAGGGAATACCTGTAGTAGTGAGAAACCAAAGTGTGTTTTCTACCTCTGCCCAGAGCGAAACACTCAGAATTGACACATACACAGAGACATGGGATGGGCATGGCATGAACTGGTAACAGCAGAGGAGAACACAGCAGGAAGAGGCAGTTTTCTTCACAGCAAAACCTGATGTGAAATGCACTGCTGAAGTGTACAGAGCTGCTTCTGTGCTACAGGATTTCCTAAAGCAATACTACATGCTGGGGCTACAGATTCAAATATATAGATTCACTATACTCTCAAAACCACCAGTCAACCCTTGTTACTCAGACTTCTCTCTATAGAGCAGCTGAAAACAAGTAAAACACTGGCTGAAAACAATTTTCCTTTATAACTAGTTACTTGATATGGGGCATCAATATGCAAGTTTGCTCTTCTTTTTTTTTTCCTAATAATACACAGATTCTTTTCCATAAAAGAAGATTCAGAGAAGAATTTTTACATTATTAAAAAAAAAAAAGCAGGATTTTATTCATCTTTCATTATTTATTCCTTAGGGTTTTCCCTGGATGGAATATGCATATTGCTATTGCTCACTATGACACACAGAATCCCAGAATGGCTTGGGTAGGAAGGGACCTTAAAGCTCATCCAGTTCCACTCCCCTGCCATGGGCAGGGACACCTTCCACTACACCAGGCTGCTCCAAACTCCATCCAAGCTGGCCGTGGGATGGGGCAGCCACAGCTTCTCTGGCAATGTGTTTGAAGTGTTTGTACTCCTGGATAATCCCAACATACCGTGCTGCATTTCTACAAGGGACAGGTTGAATATCTGCTGGATGATGTTTAGGCGGAGTTTACCACCACACAGAAGAACGGCTCGACTTTCATCTGCATCACTTTTGGAAAGCTGCTTCTGAAAATGCAAGAAAACAGTCATTAGCTACTGTGATGTATAGTTAAAATGGCATTAATCGAAACAGGATAACAGATGTGTCTCCAGTGGCATCACTCACAGGAAGCCAAACACTCCACACATTTAGGCCTGTTTGCAAGATTTATCCTTTGAAGTCTCAGCTGTCAAAGTGCTGATGAGTGAGTGACAGCAGCAAGGAACTTATCCAGCAAATGTCAGAACAGGAGAGAAAATCATACACTGCTGCTGAAGAAACTATGAGCTTCATCCACAGCACAATCCTCATCCCCATCCTTCATCCATGAGGGACATTCCCCCAAGGAGCTTGTAAAACTACAAGTTTTCTATCCCTACCTTCCCCCACCCACCCCTGATCCAAAACTTCAGAAGTGAGAACTCCTGGTCATGAATGTTGGGGCGAGGAACAGACCCACAAGTCAGAAGGGCTTATTTGTCCCACCCCTAACCATCACTGCCCAAAGCCTTAAATCCAAAAAGCATCTTCAAAGAATATGACCTGTTGGGCAGAGCAAAGCATCTTTTAAATCAGTTTTCACAATTATTAAATTTTTACAGTGGGAAACAGCGAAGAGAGTGAGGGAATATGATCTAGAACTTCAGTTCAATGGTAATTTTTTGCAGTAATAAAGCTTAAAAGTAAGAGCTAATTGAAAGGAAAACGGCCATTTAAATTACTTTGAATATTGACGAAGGTTTATTAATCTGAATTCTAGAAGTGACCCAGTAGATCTCTGCCAGGTTTTAATAATCAGGTAATTTACCCTTTCTAGCATGAGATTTGCAAGAGTAAATCTTTCATCCAAAAATGTTTCACGAGAAATTTCACTTTAAATCCATTTTTAAACTATGTTAACGGAATTATTTATTGTGTCCCTAAAGGTCTCTTTCCTCTTTGGATGGTACTCTCAATGCTAATGAGCAACATTTCTGTTTCAAAGCCAAGGCAATTTGCTTTTGTTTCAGTCTTCATTAGTTTAGTTTTCCTCGCAGGAGAGTGAGAGATTGATACTAATTCCCACATGTAAATCTTCACTTGTCTAAATTTCTATACAGAAAACTTTAGAAGTTGCCTAGGAAAAACATTCCCTTCCTAGACCTCTATAAGAACTTTAATTCTGCAGCTGGGCTGCAACATGTGGGTCCTCTGGAGTCCCAGCAGCCTCACTGCAGAGCTGAGGGGTTTGTCCCAGTGTGAGGTGGGGACAGGGAGCTACACATTCCTGAATATCCCATTGCTGGAAGCCTGCAAAGTAATGGGATTTATAACCATATATAACTACCTGCAGGAACAGGATGGAAATCTAATCCTACTGACTGATATTTGAGCATCACAAAGAACATAAAGCCATAAACAGGTTTCACCATTAAGGCTTTCAATATTAAAATTACCTGGCAGGTGATGTTAATAAACGAGGGTTCCTGAGAAGATGGGTACACTGGAAGACTTATCTTTCCAGATTTTAGCAGCTCAGTTAATTCAGAAAGATGGTGCTGCAATTCTGTGAAGTTAGCAGACAATTTTTCCACATTTTTCAAAAAGTAACTCGCCTCCTTTTCACTGAACAGGTTATTCTTGTAAGAATTGGGTATTTTGGAAGCTGCCTCAGGCTGCCTTTTTGGGGATGTTGGCTTGTTCGAAGCATTAGACAGTGCCAAGCTCCGATTCACTGGCTCAGCATCCAGAGTCTCAACAGCCGGAGGAAAATTCATGGAAATCTTTTTGTCTTTGAAGTCGCTGATGTTCAACACCAGGTTTTGTTCATAAACAGAACTCTTGATTTCTTCAATGAGTTTCCTTCGGCTTGTAGGGGACTGAAGGACAGAGCGATCTGGTATCAGGAGCCCACGGCTGAGAGCAGAGACATCTCTAGAGGAGGGATCATGAGTAATGTTGGAAAGGTTCAAACTGGAGCTGCCATCAGCTGGCACAGACTTTGAAGGACCCATTTCAAGTATCAGTTCTTTAATCATCAATCGGATCATGTATTTGTCTGATCTTGAAGAAGGAAGAAAAGCAGGGTCAGTGAATTTTTGTTTTCCAACCAGTATCAGTAACAATTTATTGGTCAAGAAGCATAAACCCTTTGGCTTCTCACTTTTCTCCAGCTGAATTTGTTGAATATTGGGCAAATTGGATGAAGTCAGTGAATAGACTAAAATAACATTACAAGTATTGGAAGCAACAGATACAGTTTGAGTTTTGGAGTCAAAAGCCATTATATCAGGAACAAGAATGCCTGGGATGCTCACTTTTTTGGTAGAGGTAACCTTTCTTTCAAAAGTCACCAAGATGAGGTGTGAGGAATCTTGGCCACTTCCTGTAAGGTAGTCCTTGGGCCTCAGGTGAAGGAGAGGGCTGGAATCTGCACCCTGCTTGTTGGAAAGTATGTGAGTTAGATCCACAGGAGACGTAACTACAGACAAGGGCTTCTCAGAGTCCAGGGACTTCTTCCCTCCATCCAAGGAATACTCTTCGTCCCCACACAAGCTGGACTGCGAGGGGAAGGACTCGGTTTCAACACTTGATGGAACTTCAAAGGCAACACCAGCATTTAAGCCGCAGATCTTGTCCAGAGGGAGCTCGGTGGCAACAGCGACTTGTAAATTCTGTGTAGCTTCCACGGCACAGATGTAGCCTCCCACATCAAAGATTGGGCAAAAAGAGCAAGCGCTGAGCGTTTTCTGAGCATCATCCCAAATGTAGGAATGGAGGGCACTGCCCACCCCCACGACCAAGCGGTTGCCTTCCTTGGTCCAACAGGCACAGTGGATGAGCCCACTGCCCTTAATGTCTGCGTTAATTCTGGAGTTGCTGAGGTGGACAGAGGGAAAGACGGAGGCGTCCCGGGTGGTCAGCACGGCCAAGACCTCCTTGCTGGGATGCCACACGCAGCCCTGGGGGAGCACGGGGTACGGCTCGCTGATGTCGCAGATCTGGGAAACCAGGAGCTTGTTCCTGTCGGCGCCGTTGAAGCAGAGCTGCCAGATGGTGATGTGCTTCTTGTGCTGCACCGCCAGCAGGGCCGGGGCCTCGGCGGGACACGGGCCCCAGTACAGCCCGTGCACGTGTTCAAACTGACCCACCACGCTGGAGTCACCGAATTTGGGCTCCCCGTTCTGCAGGTGCAGCGCTGTCAGGATCACCTGCTTGCCGTCCGTCCAGGCCAGCCCGTGCACGGGGTGAATGGCCTGGTGCAAGGCGTTGAGGCCAGTGCGCAGCAGCTTTGCCTTCCCCAGCTCCATGACTGCTAAAGTGGAACATCTACACAGAGCAGAATGAGCAGGAAAAATAAATTATTGCTGAGGATAGAGGACAGCAACTGGATGATTATTTAGCTTATGACCCTGCCAGTGCTGGACTCTTCCCTCCAGTGAAGTCAATATACACATAATGTTCACCTATGCTTAATTCCCAGCCCAGTAATTTTTTTGTTTATGATGTTTCTACCATGAAATGCAATTTTAAGAGAAAGAAACTTTGCTGTTTCTATAGGCTTACCATCAGATTTCTGCCGTATTTCCATCACAAGATCAGTCCTTTCATTCTAATCCGTAAATTGCTGTTCTCAGAATATTTTCTAATTACTTCAATATCAACAATTCTCAAAATATTGCTGCTCACTCTCAACTTCCTGAAGCATTTGTGGTCAGATGAAGTAATCCCTTACAAGTATAACCAAGCATTAATGTATTATCTACAAATCTGATCCTGTATTAAGCGTGTGAGAATGAGGCATTTGGATGATTACCCCAGAAAGCTCTCTAAGAAAGCAAATGCAATCTTGAAGAAAGTTAGGATGAAAGCAAGTTTCTGAGGAAATGAAAGAAAAAAGAATTTTAAAGAAGACATACACAAGTCATCAACACTTTGGAAAATTTCAGAGTTTTACATGGATTTCTAGTTTTTGAGCTGTGAACATCCTTACTCTGTGAAAAAAGCCAGTTCAAAGGAATTGATGGTTTCCTAGCTGCTGGTTTCCTAATTTAAGATCTCCACACAATGTGGCTCAGATGTAAACCATGGCACAGAATGAGTTGCACTTTTAGAAGAAAACATGAAAACCAAGAAGAAAGTTTTTTGACAGCTAAAACTGTCAAACTGGAAGAGTTTATTGCAATGTGCGGGGCCTGGCACCACTCAGTATTTTAATTATTTGTGGATGACCCTAAACTTGCAGGAAGAGGACTGCAAGAATGGATTTCAAAGATTAAAATTGTATAGAAAGTTATGTTATTATAACCAAAGTAACTTCTTCTCAACCTAATAACAAGTGCAAAATAATAAACTTAGTAAAAAAAAAACCAAAAAATCCCAAAAAACCCAACTTGGATACCTCTCCAGGAAGAATTCCATAGGTAGAGGTTTAGAAAAAGAGGATCTGGCTTACAATGAATCACAAACTGAGTATTTCAGTAATGTGAGAGATGTTGCCAAGTAAGAATAATTAATTCTGGAATGTTTTGAGAGGGATGGAGATACACGAGGGAGATAACTGCCCCACTTCCTCATTGCTAACAGCACCTCCACAGAACCTACTTCTGAGTTCAAGGACGATGGAAATGCTCAACAAAGCTAAGGGATCAGAGAAATACACGGCTCTCTGTGGGTTCTGTGTTTGGAGAAGACTATGAGTGGGAACTTGAGAACATCCACCAGCCCAGTGACAGAACATGCATCCATACCTGTTCTCCAGGTATATTCTGGACAGTGCATGATAATAATCAGCTTAGTTTCAACAAAGATTTAGGTCACCTAGTAAGGAAAAATTTTGACTATATGTCATAGCTAAGCATTGAAGCAGGTTACCTTGGAGGGAGGGGAAGGCACTCCATGAATTTCATAATCGGTAAGAGCCAATTAAGGAAATGTCTGTCAGGGATGAGTTTAAGTACACTGAATCCTGCCTCACAGGAGAGCACTCAAGACACTTCCAGTGCAACTTTTCCACCATCTACCTGGCCTCTCCTCTATAACCAACCTCAGTCGTGTTAAGCAGCCACCAGTTCCAGGAAAATTAAGACTGGATATTCGCTGTGCTCAGAATCCCACACACTGCTGGGCAATACTTACTGATGGCAGGGAGATGCGAGATAATGTGCCTCCTAAGACACTAAAAGATGCTAAAGCCTCCTGGGCCGTCCGGAGAGGTTCCTGTGTCACAAGGGGCGTTTGCACTATCCCAGCAGCCCTGGAAAAGCAAAAAGAGCGAGAGATCCACTGGCCAATGCATTCCTGTGCCCAAACCCACATCACCTCCTGCAGCGCCCGGCCCAGCCGCAGCTCCCCGGGCAGGTGTCACACCACAGGCCGGGTGCTCGGCGAAACGCGGTGCCCATCCCAACCCCAGGGGCAGAGGAGCCGCTGCAGGGACCCCCCTGCACCGAGCGGCCACGACAGCGGCGGGCCGGGGAGCCCTCACACACCGCCCGCCTGCACCGCCGCTCCCTGCGCGGGCCCGCCCGCACCGGCTTTCCCCGCCTCCCCAGCGGCCCGCCCGCCGCCTCTCGCCTCTCCGCGGCCTCGCTCACCCGCCCTGCCGGCGGCCCGGCTCGGCTCCGCTGAGGCGGTGCAGGGCCCTGCAGCCCCGGCGGCGCTGGGCTGTGGCGGGCACCGCCTTCCCGCAGGGCTCGGCCCGCCTCCCCGCCTCGCACCGCCTAGCACGGCCCAGCACCGCCCGGCCGCGGGGGGCGCCAGCGCCGCTCCGCCCGCCCGGCCGCTCTGCAGCAGGGGCGCTCTATGGCCCGGCCGCTCTGCAGCAGGGGCGCTCTATGGCCCGGCCGCTCTGCAGAGGGGGCGCTCTATGACCCGGCCGCTCTGCAGCGGGGGCGCTCTATGGCCCGGCCGCTCTGCAGCGGGGGCGCTCTATGGCCCGGCCGCTCTGCAGAGGGGGCGCTCTATGGCCCAGCAGGCGGGGCCTGCACGGGGCGGGCGCCTCGCTCCGCTCCCGCTCCCGCTCCCGACGGCGCCCCTGAGGAGCCGCGGACGCTGAGCCGGCGGCGGGAGGTGACGGGAATTACAAATCACAGAATAACCCCAGCTGGGGGGGGAAGCACCCATGAGCGTCATCGAGCCCAGCTCTTGTGTTCAGCACACCCCAGGAGTCACACTGTGTGCCTGAGAACGCTTCTTCAACTCAGGGTTGGTGCTGGGAACGCTGCCCTGCGGAGCCTGTTCCAATGGCCAGCCACCCTGTGGGGAAGAACCCTTTCCTGATATCCATATAAACCTCCCCTGACACAACTCCATGCCAGGGGGATCAGTGTCTGCCCCTCCTCTGCTCCTCATGAGGATGTTGAAGACCACAATGAGATGTCCCCTCATCCTCCTGCAGATTAGACAAACCAAGTGACCTCAGCTGCTCCTCATAAAGCTTCCCTTCCATACCCTTGCCATCCTTGTGGTCCTCCTTTGGATGCCCTTTTTATATTGTGGCACTCAAAACTGCACATGGGACTCGAGGTACGGCCACAGCGGTGCAGAACAGAGAAGGACAATCCCCTCCCTTGACCAGTGCCTTGATCAGTGCTGTGCCTGGTGCACCCCAGGGCATGGCTGGCACCGAGCAAAGCATCCCCAGCCAGTCTAAGGAGGTGATTGTCCTGCTCTTGTCACTTTCATCGCCCCCAGGGGTCATCCACCAGCACCCCCAGCCTGCTCAAACCAGTGTGGCTCTTGGAGAGGCCTGAGGAAGTGGCACAGCAGAGCAGAGATGCCTCCAGCGGGAGGACATCAGGTCCTTAGTGTGGTGTATCCCGTCCCATGAGATACTGAATTCACACTGAAGTGAGGAAAGCATCTAAATTCAGTGCAGAGCTACTCCAATACAACTTACCTGGTCCTGATTTATTGCACTGAGGATAGCTCCTTATAAGTCTCCAAGGCCTTTTAAAAGTTAATTAAATTGCATGACTGTGCCACTTTGCCACTCCTCAGCACTGCAGAGCAGTGTGCTCATTGTACCATTCATGAAACCAACACTCTTGATAGGATGTTGAAACACTAGAAAAGGTGCTGTAAAAAGAGCTGCCAAACGTGTAGGGAAAAAATGCTTGAAATTAACTGCAAGGTCAAATATGTAAGTAGCACAAACTTAGCCAAAGAAGAACACTAGGGGGTGACTCGGTCATATCACATGAGTGCCTGTACAGCGGGGAAAAAAAGCACAAAAAAGCTCTGAAATTAGTGAAGGAAGGTTTAACAAGAGCCGTGGACAGATTCAAATATATAAGACATATCTGTGTGTTACACTTACTTACAGTGGTCCAGACTGGAACAAACTGCCAACAGAGCATCTTCACATTAAAACCTGATGGTTTTCAGGGCCATACCATTTTAAATTGCAAGCCATAGAATGGTTTGGGTTGGAAGGAACCTTAAAGATCATCTTGTTCCAACCCCCTGCAGAATAGGGAGACCTTCCACTAGACCAGGTTGCTCAGAGCCCCATCCAGCCTGGCCTTGAAACCCTTTGGCAAAAGACATTATCACCTCCTTCCTCCCCACCACTGGCTTACCTGAACAGCTCAATCAAGCCAGTTTCCCAAGAAGTTCTGTTTCACAAATGTTTAATCTGTTCTTACCTTCATAATATCCATTTTCCTCAGTGGTGAGTTTGGCCAAGCAGGATTGTCACTTGGTGTCTGGGACCCTGAGCCACCAGCTGAGTTTATTAGACAAAAGAGTTTTCTGACTATAATTTTAGTCTCACAAAGAATTATGGTGAACGGGAATGATTTCACCTTTTTTTTTTTTTTTAAATATAAAACTTAAATTGACCATCCATATTAATAGACAGAAATAAACATTTAAACCACAGAGAGACCACAGTTTAAGAATGCCTGAAATACATTTTCATGGTAAATGTCTATTTTTGTTTCCTATGCATATAATTATACAGTTAAGTATTTTTAAATACTTATTTTCATGATGTAACTTGTGTTATATGTAAACTGCTAATAGAGTTCAACAAATGAACTGAAAATATCCCAAAAGCTCAGAGTTAGTTGAAAATCTGTAAATTAATATTTTCATTGAAATGGAATTGACTCAGCCTACCAGAGTGCCAGAATGGTGTGCAGGTAGTTATTATTACACCAGTTGTTTATTTCCATGCCCAACAGTGTGTGTCTTATTTGTGTAACCACAGCCTGGTTATTTTGACATGTAGAACAGCATGAAAAAGGCTGGAGGCTGCTTGGCCAGCAGCCACAAGCCATGGCTGGTCACACAGTCACAATGTGCATAGACACAGTTGTTATTCCTCAGCAGCTGTACTGCAAATAAACATCTCTTGTTTTCTTTCTTTCTTTTCCAGACTCTCCAAGCTGTTCACTGCTGATACATATGATCTGTCTGTGACTTTGGGGATTTTAACATCGCAGAACCCCTCAGGAGATGTCTGTAAGGTAGAAAGTGGGTCAATGAAATTATGCAAGGAAAAGTGTTTAAAAGGCTGAAATTACAGAAATAGTTTCCTGTGGTCATGCTCATTTAAAGCACACATCTTGGCTTTTAAAAATGTGATTGCATTGAGTCAGGCTTATCCTTAAACACTGAGCAGACTCACAAATCTGTTCTCAGGCCCTGCATGAAGAGCAGATTTGCCTTCTCATAACTTAATTTGTTGTATCATTTGGATGTCTGCTTTTCAAATTAGTTGAAACACAACGTTAATAAGAATATAGGAGAGTCTGAGACAGAACAGTTATGAATACCTTCTAGAGGGAGGGAATGGCAGGGAAGGAAGGTGAAATGGATGTGATGAGATATGTTGAGTTGTTATTTCTGCACGCTGTAGATTTTTTCTTTGCTTTTACTGAACTTGTACACATTTAAAGAACATGCTGTTAAAAGGGAAAAGAATAATTTAAAGATATTTTCTCTTAGCTTCATAAGCATCATTTTAATATCTATATATATTTAATCCAGTCTATGGACACTGCTGAATGAGCAAATTGATCTCATAATTGTATTTCTTAATGGGAAAACTTAATGAGGCACTACCATGTAATTTAGACTTCTAAAATATGATGTGGTAAAGCCTAGGATCGGTAGCTAAAGGATACAGATGCTTTATATGGTTTATATTATCATATTAAAAATGTTTCTTCTTCATTCTGAAAGCTGATTAGTAATGAAAATAATATAAGATGAGCAATTTTGCAGAAAATTGCCTCATCCTGAGTCAATATCATGTTGTCAGAAGAAGTCAGACAGTGCTGGGGGGTGTGTGAACAGGATCCTTGTATTGTGTCTGCTTGGCTTGGCTGGGTACAGCCAGATGGGGTCATAGTATTTCCACAGCACAGGCAAACATGAATTTTGTGCTCTGTAGCACAAAGTCTTGCAGGGGATTCCTTGTGGCTCCAGGCTTTGAGGAATGGAGAGGATCAGTGCAAATTTCGGGAGATTAGAACAGCAACAGAGTGAAAATTTCTGCTTTTCTCCGAAGCTGTAGCTACCACTCCTCTCCTAAAGCAGCTACCACTACAGGTCTCCTGAAGCCTGCCCTCGCCGGTTGTACTGCACAGGGACAACACTTTGCTGGTTCTTGTAGAGACAAACGAGACTCAGAATGTTGTTTATATTAATTTTCAGCTGATTGTTTCCTACACAGGAAAGAAGGCATGGGAAATGTACAAAACTCACACAGGAATGTTTATCACCCTGTCACGCTGTGACAGCCTATTTTTTTCTGTGTGTAAAAACCTGCAGTAGTGCTTTTCCATGTCTGAAACAGGCTTTCAGCTGAGTTACCATTCTGTTACAGCTCAGGAAAGATACTGCATGCTGGCATAGGGCAGAGAAACAAGATCCAGGGTGGATGTCTGAGAGAGACTGAAGAGTGGTGTTGCATAGAGAAAAGGAATTTCAAGGGAGACCTAATGGACAGAACAGTTTTCAAGTATTTAACAGACAGCTGCCCCAAATAAGGATCTAAGCTGTGAATAGTCAAAACAGACCTTCCAGACCTGGAATAAAGACACTGCAAAAAAGCTCTATGTCGAGCTATTATTTCTGTGCTGCTGTGGAAGTGCTACAAAGTAAAAATCAGTCTCCTGACTTCTCAGTTTGTTGTATACCATTAAAAACACACAAAAACAGAATAGCATAATGTATATTGAAAATAAGATAGCCTCTTAAGAGTCTTTCCATTTTAAAATTGATTTGTGTAAACCAGCCATGTTATAAATAAGGATTTTTGATATGACGGTGTTCCTTTGGAATAATAATCTTTGAAAGGACCTTTCCAGGCATATGTCTTCAGAGCAAACAGTATCTTTTAAATTACACTTCCTTGTAACTGTGGTTAATCCAGAACCAAGCTGATGCACAAATCACATAATCAGAGATATTTAACAATATT